ATTCAAATGTGTACTACTCGCGTAAACTACAGACAGTATTTTCTGAAACATGTCGGACTTCGTCTAGAAATTTGGATATTAAATAGCGGTGGGATTATCGAAATTCTGTCCCCATGGCCCACTGTATCAAAATGAAAAGTGAAGTTAAATCGCGTTACGGTTAGTCTGTAGATTTCGGAATATTCAAAGCCAAAATAGGCCGTAAGGGCATCGTGTTAGATGACATGGGTATTTCACCTTGTATCATATGCTTGTTTGTCTTTGTACATAAAAAAGTAAAGTACATTTAGCGAGTAAAAACGCAAATAGTTGCTTTGAAAGCCAACAATGTAAGTCAAATACTGCAAAGTACAGATGAGATCTTTAAAAGTATTTAACGCTCTGATAAATAGATTTCGAGTGCCACTAAGCATTAAATGTAGACAAAACAAGTGTAGAATTCAAATCCTGTTTCCGTGTTCCCGGATTCGAAATCAGGAACGCTTTCAACGCAATGCTGAGCAACGCGTTAACTATTCGCTACAGAGGCGGTCTAGATACAGACAAAGGAACATCATATATTTTGTATGTATTAACCTAGTTATATCTATAATTTCGAGAAGCACACAAATCTATTTACTTATGTAAGTCTAAAAATGGGAATCTGTTAAAAATTTTTTTAAAAACGTCTTATCTTTAAAAAGGGGAACACCAATCAACCTAGCGTAATAAGTTTTGTCGTTAAGGAAAAACGTTGACGCCCGAGTTTTAATTCAACGCAAAAAAAAAATTTCTTTTACCTACCAACATTATATTAAGAAAAGAAAAATAAAAAAAAAAACTGGGAATCTGGCAGGAATTGGGCGTCGTCATCGTTTTAAGCTGTTGCTCTTACCAATTAAGCGGCTGATTTTTATTTTTCCCACGGTTGCTTGGAAGAGATATCTATTAATCTATAATGTCGTCGTTTGTCCTTAATATCTATCAATGTTTAATTTTTGTTTTGTTACAATAAAGAATATTTGTATTTGTACAGAGTCAATTCTTTCGATTCTTAATTTATATAGTGCCATCATGTGCAACAATAACACGTAAAAAATATTAAGATTTACAAAAATCTAATTTTATAGCTTTCAATCAAACCCTTTTAACGGTGTTAAACGCGAAATATATTAGTTCGGATGCCTTGCGTGGACACGGTAAGACTGAGGATGACTGTCGACTGCAATGGCGATCGTAATTTATATATTTCGCGTTTTAAACAGTAAAAAGTGTTTTATTGAAATCTATAAAGTTAGATGTAAATCGCGATTTTCTCGTTACGTTTATCAGACTGTGCCTATATGGATCGAAACTATTGGTGTGTAACTATGTTTCACCAGGATTTGAGCCCTTGACATCTCGCGACTAACGTAGAGTGTCTTTAATTGTTTATCATTTCTTATGATATATTATACTTAGTATTTCCTAAGTCAAAATAGGTCGAAAGGGTAGATCCGATGTGTCTAGGGTAATTCAACTCCCATTAAGTGTACCCCATACTTGTCTGTCCCCATCTATCATTTAAAAAAATGGCGTCTCAAATTTAACTCCAGACTTCATGAAAACATTCCTACACGAGCCACCGAAGATGTTATCAAACTGTTTGTCGAATATTTTCACGGGTCGTTGAACCCTAGCGAGTCCCCTAACTTTGAAATTGAAATTCAAATAGGCATGTCCTTGACCGCAGATGCTAAGGATTACAGGTGAAAAATAGAGCTGATTTTATCAACTACGACGTTTCCACTTTCTGTGTTTATTTATGTAAGAAACGTTTTTGTAATGGATTTTTGATTTTTCACATGTTGCAAATGATGTCATTATATAAATAAAAAATGAATTTAAATAAAACACTTTAACGGTTTAAAACGCAATTAAATTTTAGTTAAACTTGTTTGAAAATTAATTTTAACCACGGCCCGACGTTTCGTAATAATTTTCAAACAAGCTTAACTAAAATATATCGCGTTTTAAACCGTTAAAGTGTTTTATTTAAATGTTACTCGAGTAAACAATATTTAAAACTTATCAGACTTCAGAACAAAAAGGCTTATAAGCCTATATTATAAAACAAAATTTTTAAATACACATATAGTTAGTCACAGATTTATTTATGACATAATCCATTTATAAACGTATACGCAAATATTTGTACGCAATTTAAAACCGCAAAGCTCAAAGCTTATTAAGTTATCTAGTTAATTATAACATTCAACTTTGTGGCGAACCACAGAGTGACCTTATTACGATTTTAAACTTACAATAATATTGTTTCGAGATTATTATAATGATATCTGACAGCCTGTGTTTACGTGTAGTATTTATACATTACAAAATTCCTTTATAACTTTATATGATCTTATAGGTAGAGGGTTTTTATAAAGCTTTTTGCATTATTTCGACTCTCATGTCATTACGTTAAAGAGTGTGACATTTTCTATATTAGAATAGAAAAGAAATACATTTCATTGTTTTTCGGGCCATTGGACTAAACCACAGTGACTATAGTAATTACTAGCTCTGTCAGCGACTTTGTCCGCGAGAATCGTTATTATGGACACCTTCATCTTTATAAACTTAAGCTGATACCCCGTCGTCGTTCTTGAAATTTAATCTTTAAAGATAGCGTCCCGGATTTTTTTTAGATCATTTAAAAGAAATTATTATTTCATACATATTTTTTGCGTACCTGGAACCGTATTTGCAGCGTACGCCTCGGAAACCCATAATGATTAACAATTTTCCCAATTTCCTTTACGTTTCTCACTGTATCTTCTCTTGTATTAGTCACAGGGTGATGTTTAGCCTATAGCTTTTCTCGATAAATGGTCTAAGCAACACAAAAAAAATCCACTTCAACCCATCGTTCCTGAGATTAGCGCGTTCAAACATACAAACTAACAAATAAACTCTTCCGCTTTATATATTAGTCTATACTAAAAATTACTTTAAAAATTCATTGTCACCCCACTAGAAACCAAACTTACATTACAATCGTATCCTTTTATATTCTAGCCCCAATACAAAAACTACTATTTATTTAAATAATACATAGTGAATGAAGAGTCAAGGTGTTATTGATTTTTCTATGGACATTTTCAAGGTTCTTATTCAAGGCAAATAAAATCATTGTCTATATCTGTTTAGGTATTATTTAGATTAGCAGGCGTTGGGGACACTCGCTTTATCTTGATAGAATTAATAAGGAATGTGGTACAGTAAACTAAAAGACTGGACTAGTTGAGAGATTCTAGTCTTTGTAGAATGTAGATTGGAACCTGTCCCTTAAGTAGGTGCTAGCTTTACCGCTCTGGTCTTGGTAAGTGGTGGAAAATTTTTCTCTGGATGCATAAGCCGGTTTAGAAAATGATATTCTTTAAATACTGTCTATAGTTTACGCGAGTAGTACACATTTAAATAAAACAGGTGGTGGTGGTAAAGTCTCCCCGTAACCACGGCTGCTGCAAAGCATCCGAAACGTCGGGCCGAAGTTAAAAAACATTTTGAAATAAATTTAACTAATATATCGCGTTTTAAACCGTTAAAGTGTCTTATTTAAATGATATTGTTTTCTATGATAAGGTAAGTAAGTGGTATCATGTAACATAGAGTTTACTATCTTTTTACATTAAATGATAAAAAGAAGAAATCCGTCTGTGTAATTTTGCATATTGAGACATTAAAACGATAATATAGGTACTTACTTTTTTAAATAGAGTGTTAACTGTTTGTGTAATATAAATAACATAATAGAGAAAATAACTAACAATCTCGCTTGATTGAAATAAAACACTTTAAACGGTTTAAAACGCGAAATGTATTCATTGAACCCCTAGTGACCACGCCTGCTACAAAGCATCAGGAACGTTCGGCCATAATTAAAATTGTAAATTATTTCACTTAATACATATCGTGTTTTAAACCGTTAAAAGAGTTTTATTTTTATGTGTACTACTATCTCGCTTGAATTAGTTTAGTTTTTTATGTGGTGCTGTTTCTGTACAAACGTCCATATTTCTGTTCTATTCAAAATGACTAAAGGCGATAATAATTGGAAAATGACACATCGCAGTTGTATATCTAGCAATTTTTACTCTTCTTTTCTGACACAAGATGACCTTTAAATTTAAATAAAACACTTTACGTTTAAAAGCGATATATTAGTTAAACTTATTTGAAAATATTTTTATTCCACTTTGGATGCTTTGCAGCAGCGTTAGACAAGATACTGATGAGTTCACAACATTTAGTGGTTCACTCTAGACCTAAACACGTTTTAACATTTCACAGGACTCGGTGTTTCGATATTTCCACCATTTATTTAATATCTAGAATATAAATGACATGTTGACTTGACATGTCTATAATCGGAAACTTACATTTACAAATGCGCTGTGAAATTGAACGACCATTGTTTAATACTCTATTCACTATACTTCAAATCATTAATTTCTGTTGTTTGATGTTTTTAGTTTGCACATCCACGGAACAATATGATGATGTTTGCATGTGAGGTTGTCGGCACAACGGTCCCATATTATGTTTAAAACATTGTGGGGTCGTGCAAAAGATCAAATCAGAATTGCAAATATTATTCTTTTAACCTTGAATCATGAATCCGAACATTCGGACGATCAACACTATTCACATTATACGATTTTTATCGGTTTATTACGCAGCTAGGAAATAGAATAACGGTATACAGCGAATAAAACCCGTGCCCAATGGTTAATCAAACTCCATTAAGCATGAGAGGTCCTGTGATCGAATCCTGGGTAACTATAGTTTCGGACCAGCGCAGTAGTCGGATCAAATACTTGCAAATAAAAGCCGTCATTGAAACGGACATAGACATGGGTCTCCCCTCACGGGAAACGGGATTTTACACTTTCACTCATGAATACCTGGAAACTACCCTTGGAAAAACAACGATGACAGGACTGCGTTGACCGATATATCCAGGAGCCAAGGATCTACAGATGGGTAGGTGGCAGAGGTCCAAAATAGGTTTGAGGGAACTGGCATCACAAGGCCTGGTGGAGAGCGATGGGACCTTACTTAAGGACGAAGTGAAGTATGTCGATTCCTTTAAGGCACAAATACATATAACCACAATCCGTTGTTTGCAATTGTATTAGTGGTTAGCATCTATTTACACCAGACTTACTATTAACAATTAGGATCATGTTACAGTGGTCGAATGTTTAGTTTGAAATAAGACATTTAAAAACATTTCTAGTCCTGCCTACAGCTTCACTAAAGTGATAGGTCGATATAATTCACTGTTTCAGCGCTTTTATTTTTAATTAATAAATATTTTTTATGACAGAGGAGGACGCAGAAAACGGTCGGTCTGTCTTTCGACCTATCTTTGGTTTTGGGCTTTCAGGAATACACAAAGTGAAACGCGATTACGCTTCACTGCTTTTCATGTCTGTGGAATGTGCATTGTCACTGGATCAGACCTCGTCGTAGTTCCTATCACCCTTCTAATATCCATTCTTTCTGAACAAAGTTTAACATTGTTCAGAAACGTAAAAGTTTGAAAAAAATATTGTATCTTGTGGGAATCGAACCATTAACCTTTTGATTTTCAAATAAGTTTAACTAATATATCGCGTTTTAAGCCGTTAAAGTGTTTTATTTAAATGTGTAGGTACTACTCGCGTAAACTACAGACAGTATTTACTATTTTCATCTTTAACCCTATTTTCCTTTACTATATTTATATATAGGTTCTGTAAGGCTGTATTTAGTTTATAATTAATTTATTTATATCCTAAGCAAACAGCTTAGAGGTGTGTCCTAAGTCCTTGGAATGGCGAGTAGCAATGTGCTAATATTGTAAACATTCCGCGCAATTAGCTTTGCGTTCCACCATTTGCATTCATGTTCTTTGATAATATTAATGAAAGCGGTAAACTATGGCTTATCGGTGAAGGAATTAATAATGTTATTTGAAATTGTTTCATTTGTCATACATTCCAAACGGTGAGCGCTGAAATATTTGCGGAGTAACTCGTAATGTCAAATAAAAATCGATTTTTTAGATAGAAAAAAATTTACGACACGGGCAGGATTTGAACCGGTGTCCACAGGATTCCATGTTGTGGCTTAAATTGAACTACCGTGTCGAGTTTTAATTTTAAATCATTGATTTTTAATTTACATAATGCCGTCGTTAAATATTTTTAACTTGTGACATCGTTTAAAACGATTTTTGTTAAGATCATTAATAATTATTTATAGTCGATCGATCGATCAATTACCTATATTTATCGCGTTCATCTGAAGAAACTCTATTTTAATAAAACAATCCTTTTTTCTCTTTTCAACTCCAAATTCATTGCACAATTATAACTACTTTAAGTGTCAATAAAAGTAGTTTAAAAGTCATTTTCTTTTCAAACTGGAGTATCATAGAAGGATACTATTTAATTTGTTATAAATACAAACAATTCGGTTATTTCATAATAATTCAGTGTACTTGGTCATATTGTATTAAATTCAAAATAATCATGACTATGCACCAACAGACTCTATGAAATACAGAATTTGTCGTATTGTATTTTCATTGTCTCAGCTTGGTATTTGGCGAAACTGGCAGATATGGCTAACGGTGTCTTCGGGTTTGCTGCTATGCTGTTTTAGAAACCAGAGTTTTTAATATGAAATCCCAAGTGTTTGATAACTTGAGGCCGTGCTCCCTATTGAAAATTTTGTGTTTCTTAATTTCGATTGCTTCGCTTAGTAATCTTGGAAATCGACTCTCCTTTGCAAGAATTTTGGGCTGGTCGAAGCGAATGTAATTAGGCCCTTCAGACGAGTGTTTCGAAACGTCGGGCAATAGTTAAGATAAGTTTAACTAAAATATATCGCGTTTTAAACCGTTAAAGTGTTGTATTTAAATGTGTACTCATGTAAACTACAGACAGTATTTAAAATTGCACAAGTTAAAATCAGCACGCAAACGTTTGTTAATAATGCGTTCATCGAATAAATTAATCACCCCAATGCACATATTGCATAATAAATTCACTCTTCCCTTTGAATAATTTTATAACTACATAGGCGTGCCTCACGTAACGCAAGCTATAATGATACTAATTACACTAAAATAAGATCCCTTTTTGGTAACACCGGGTCAATTCTACGGGGTTATCCCGTAGGAGATTTTTTGTGGATCTATTCAATACGGGTCCACGGATTTGGTCACGTACGCCACCTGACAGGAATAAAAAAAAATCTTCTGGAGTATTCTCGATTTGCGCACAAGTTGTAACTTGTAAGATTTATACAAAAATAATAAATCAGGTGAAGCTAATACAGACAAAAGAAAGAAAAGATTAGTAAGCAATATTGACAATTTGCATCACTAGGTAAATATGTGAAGAAAATACTAATACTAAGAATCAATTTCAACTTTATTTACAAAGAAGATAAAAGACTTCATTCACAGAAGAATTATTTATACGGTTAAATTAAAATATTATCATAAGAACTTTTGGGCAACACTTCCTATGTTGAGACAATAGTAAATTACATTAAAAATAAAAAAAAGACAGAAATCTAAATCATAATTATGCAATACAAAAACAAGTATTTTAATAATTTGTATACCAATAATGTTCTAAGAAGTTGCTAAAATATTTTTGATGCTATAATTAAACAATTCAAATTTCATTAATTTCCATAACTGTTTGCAAAAAGTAGATTTCCATAATGTTTCGAATCTCTTTTGTGTGTTGTAGAAATTATACGCACGATAAATTTATCGTATAATATTTCGTTACTTATTTAATTAAATAATTAACGAAATATTATTTATTATTACCCTTATTTTTAAATAAGTATTTTAGCTAAATTCTTAAACATGCTTATTTTATTTACAGCAAAGAGCAAGAGACATCCTTAAATGCCTAATAGGGTTTCTTAAATAAAAACGGTTCGTTTCCAATTTCGAGGAAAGAAGACTTTCAAGGACAAACGAAAATTTACAGGGAACTTAAAGGATAAGTAAGAATACAAATGCCAAAGACAGTTGACAATCTAAAACTTACTTTCCTAATAGATAAAGCTTTACTTTTTAATCAATTAGTAAAGCCGATTGTACCAAGAATACATATAATTAGATTCATACACGTCATTTTGAATCGTTATTCTTTTATGGTTTAAGTATGTACACATCTTTTTAAAAATATAATATTGCTTATCAGGCCTAATTTTCTTATCAGAAATGATATCGCAAGTATGATAGGATCCTAATACCTGTTAAGATTATATTATCTTAGAAAGATGTTAACTCAGATGAATAAGTAATAAAGAAATTACAATACTAATGAACGTAGGTTATGCCTTCCCTAAAAAACTATTGTAATAGCCAAGGAAAGGTTAGAAATTGTACCAATTGAAACAAAGGGGTTCTGCCTTTTTCTTAACCAATTTGTTAATGACAAAAGATGTTATATAAATAGCGGATTATTAAAAAGTTCAGACCACTACCTATTTTCGGTGGGAGATAAGTAGTCGGTACCTACTAGGTATTGTAATAACATTCTATGATTAGCCTTAGCGCATAATTAGATCAAAGTATAACAACTTAAATGTTATGTAAATGTAAATGTGGCTATGATATTATCACTGAAAATATTATTTAAAAAACCATTAATATTATTTTTGGACATCAAAATAGTCACGTAGGCCGAAGAAAGAGACAGATATATCATAACATAGAAACTGGATTAGATAAAACGAGTCACAATATTATATGCTAGAGCGAGATGGAAGAGTGGCGTGACAACTGACAACAAACATGGCGTCGCCGGCTGCCAATGCCGGTTAAACCGGCTCGATCGTAATTCGTAACTCGTACCACGTGCGTGCTCCGTAACTCCCGAATCTTGTTGACAAACAGATTAACAGAATATTATGGAGCTTACATTGAAGGTCATTAGAACGGGCAGTACAGGGTACACAAAGAAATAATAAAAGACTCCTTACATAGCTTAGCATAGCCAACAGTAGGCTAAAGTGGGTAGATTCAGTATAGTAATGACTATTTAAACTAGAAAATTAGGTAGGTTAAAAAAAGCTTAAGCTTTGATTTCTAAAAGATATCATTTTAGTGTTCACTGTTGTACGCTTCCTATTACTAAATTGTTTACCATTGTAAGCTGTTAAGTTATCCAAATATTATAGAAATAAAATAATTAAAGTTTTATATATAAGTAACCTTTAATATCAATTTATATGAACAATAACAAGACGTAAATGTAAAATGTTCAAGAACACTAATTTCTGATTAGATTAAGTTGGAAAATAAAGAACCTTACATGTTCCTGTTAATAATCTGATTGATGAGCAAATGTAAACAAACAAAAGTTGTTTTTGTAGATTTTTCGGTATAGATAAGATATGTTAAACGATTTGGTGTCTACGTGTCTCATGTAACCACATTTGTGGCGGTGACGTGTGGCTACTTTACCAACAAGATGATGCAATGCTTTTAACATCGAACTCTCGGGGTTGTAGCCAAATGTGAAAATATCTACAACAATAAACATCGATAGGTAATGGAAATCTACGCAGTGAATATCAAATATCTATCTTAGCAAGTAGGTACTAGGTAGCGAATTGTGATTACTAACAACAAAAAGTTAGCTGAACGACAAAAAATGTAAACACGTCAGCGCTCTGTTCGAGCCAGTGGGCCTGCGCAGAGCGCGGTGTCGGGGGAAGGGGGATCACAACATCGCACTCGCCGAGCGGTGCGCGGGGCGAGGGGCGCAACGATGTACGCCGCAACTAGCCAACCAGTCGAAACCGACCGGTAATTTCTTCAGTTGGATTTCAGAACATCGAACGGGCGGGCGTGTGTAGGATGGATCGTTAATGACACCAGTAATTTTTTCATTCCGCCTTCTAACAGTGTTTGTTTATACCTTTCGGCACGTTTTCCGTAAATCCTTCTCGACCGTGGTGCTTTAACGTCTTTTAGTTTTGGCGTTTCATTTTCTATACCCTTAAACAAAGCGCCGTTCCGATTTCTCGTCGAGAAGGCGGCCGCACAAGTTTGAAAGCGGCTTTTCAAGAGTAGTTCCACCTACTCGATAATTTTGTTATCGCTTTATCAACGATTCAGGCAAATATTAAAATGGTGAAAAAGATCTCAGAGGAGAGTGTAGATAGCGGTAAGTACGCATTTTTTATCATTTTAATTTCTCATCATTATATTGTTAACGAAAAATGTATTGAATATTTATGCCTATATATATTGTTTAACATCAAGTTGCTCCTCGGAATGCATGGAAAATCAAGAATAAAACATTTTCGTCCAATTAGGTGCAGACAGCTGTGGTTAGTTATTATTATTTACAAAACAATCGTCATTACATCTTTTAACCAGCCTCTTTTGTTGTGTTATCAAACTGTTGAAAGTTCATGAACAACAATATTCCAATTACGACTAACACCGTCTTATTGGACAAATAACTTGCAATTTTTTATATTTGCTTTGCTTGTTTACCTGATTTAAAAATGGTTTAAGTATGTATGAGTTATTATTTAATAAAAATTCTGAACTTTTTTTATTATTACAAACAGTATATTACAATCAATTTTTGATTAATATACATTTTGGATCTGAACTTTTAATATAAACTTGTAGTGATAATTAAGTAAATTATTAAATTACTATACTTTTAACATCGCAGTAAAATAATTTGAATTCGAACTGCTAATAAAGGCCCAAAACCGTTCATATAAAAATAAATAAAACAGCTACTTTTATTTCAAACAAGTAAACAATTCACTTATCTGGAAGTTCCCTTAGAGGCCAGTTTTTGCTTACTCGCTCTTTTACTTATGAATATATTTTATCTACCTTTTTAAACACATTATGTAAATGGTTATCTGTGGTTCTCATAGTAAACTGGCTGGTTAAATTAATGCAATTTCATTATTCTCACCATTCCAACATGGCCGCTGGAGCGCGACGCCCCGCGTTCATTGCCAAGGTCACCTCATAACACCAAACTGCGCACTAAGCTTTAGTAAACATATCCACTTATGTACTATGTGACTGTTGCTAGTTGGTTCAATGAGAATTCAAAACAATCAACGCGGATTGTCTCTTAAAATAGCCCTCTTTTCAAAATGGCTTCTGTTTATTTAAAGGACCTGGGTAAGATAATAAATTGAACTTATGATGGATTGTAAGTTATTTCGATTAGTCAACTTTAAACTTTTCTGTATTGAAGTGAATCAGCAAAGTGCATTTTATTTTTTCTTAAGCCTTTTCAGTCATGTTTAGTTAGATTGTCAATACAAAATAGAAGGTAATATAGGACAGTGTACTGAATCATTAAACAATTTTATTTCACTCGAGCGAAGAATTGATCAGTAAAGTAATCGTCAACCTTGACCGTTAACATAACAAAGGAAAGCCGAATGTATTGTAATCTCACCCTTCCCAAATTCCCCTTTCGACATCGATTTTTGACCAAGTTACGTAGAGTTATGTACTGACGCAGGCAACACATTCGTTTGTCTATAGTCTGGATTTGCTTAGTTTTTACGTTTCTTTTATGGAATACAGAAATCGTTATTTCCGTCCACATATGGTACTTTTGAAGTAGGTATGTATTGTAAAACTAGGCTTATTTTCAAATGTAAAGTATGAATTATTATTGTGTAACTGGTAAAACAATTTTTCTGCGTTGAAATCTGAAAGGGTGAATGAATCTAATATTTAATTTTCGTGTTTATCAGTTTATGTAGGTATTTTTTATAAGAAAGCAATGGCATTAGGAGGGTAGGTAGGGAAATTATGTAACTGTATTGTCGGAAACTAAGATAATAAAAGCGTTTATTTATTAATTAAGTATAATAATTGTTTGAGTTTTTATATTACTTTTATTATGCAATGATATTTTGATTTATAAAATGTATAGGATACATGAAAATTATAACATATTAATATCCAGTTGAATGAAATTTGGACTAGGAAGCGAAATTAGTGCGAAATCTAAAAACGTCTGTGGTACAGAAACCCACTTCGCGCGCTTAGTCCACCCACGTTTTACCTTGACCAGATGAGTGAACAGATTTTTTCAATTTAAGACAATATCAATGATAAGATGAAGTTTAAAAAACTACTGCTTTAAAAAAAAGTGTTTTTTAGACTATAAATTAATTTTTTGATTAGAGTAATAATAAAGTTATTAAAAAAATAATTTAAATATTTTAGTTTATTACTAGAGGTTGGTAAGAAAATACCAAGTACTATGGATATATCTTCATTTGTATCTTTGTATTTCTCCTTTAAACTACCTACATTTAGTACTATTGGTTTTTAATTTTCAATGATAAAATTACTAATGCGATTGAAGCCGGTGAAAAATATTATAATTCAAAATCTCACGTCCCCGTTTAACTTAGAATCCATCTAGTCACATGTTGCTCGCGTGATAGGCCATATGTGGCAACACGTGTTGTCTTACGTAAACTGTGAAAAGGAAACGGTATTGGATAATTACCTAGATTAAAATCCTACTTTAAACCTTTACCATACAATATCTGATCTAAACGCCCGTATGTACTAACATATTTAATTGCTATGTATTGTAAGTAGTTCTTGATTTCTAAATGGATTCTGCCAATTTCACGTGTCCGTGGATAAAATATATATATAATAAAATATTTTAACTGTACGTCCAAAACATTAGTAGAATATGATATGAACTTCGACGATGGCGAAGCGTCGTGTAATTCTAGTAATTAGCGTCTCCGTTAATTGTAATTATGAGCATTAGAATCCCAAAAAACAAGTGAATCTCTCGATTGTTTAATTATACGAAGAAAAACGATGTGATGACGACGAGGCCGCTAGAGGCAGAGTAGCCTAACTGCAAATTTATGACTTAAGTTATTATTATATTTTCATATCTATATTCACAGAAAAATGTTAACATAATTCACAGTTCACTTACACAAATAATAGTACAAACTCATTTTCGCCCAAGTTAATTTGGCGTTTTTGTTATTAGGCCACTTTGCCTCTAGCAGCCTCATATGAAAAGAATGTACCTAGTTATTGGGCCGGTTTTCGTCAATTATTACGCATATTAATATATCTATCCAAACAGGAATAAGGAAACCATTGAAATGTGTAACAGAGTGGGCGTGGAACTCCTGATTGCTACAATCGCAATTTTATTGCGTATTTACTATAATGTGTTAAAGTTTTTGTATTATTAACATCTGTGGTGGTATTCACACTTTTAATCTGTTTCTAATTCGGTCACACATTTAACAGACGTCGGTTATCGTCTGGCTAGCTTTAGTTTGAAGGCTGTTGTAATCAGAGATGATTTAATAATCGTTTTTAACCTTCACGTTGTAGGGAATACTTTGCATACCGTTTATTAAATATATCGAATGAGAATTTTGGCAAATTTAGAGAGTAGTTAATGCGTTCCCGTTTGTTTGAGTTTTCTGTTATAGAAATGCGTTTACGCAGAAAGAATGGTACTCCGCTTTGTAATTAACAATAAATTAATGGTTTTAAGGGTCTTGTTGTTACCCTTATTACAAGTAATGTTGGGTTCAAATTTCGACGTAACACGATTGCTAATTGGGGGTCAAATAACACGAAAATACTTCCTTAGCGACAGCCTTTGTTTGCCGTCTCCGTGCTTTTCTCTTTCTATTCAACAAGTACGCGTTTTGTCGACTAGGAAATTAGCTTTATAAAGGAATAGAAATCCATGTGTGTACATCAATCAAAAATGGTTGACACGAAATTCACATAATGTAACGCGGCATTCATTGTTATTCAAGCCTTTATCGATGAAACAAAGGATTCAATAGGAAGATAACATTACGTTGCAGCGCACATACAGTTCCAACAACTGTTAATAGGCTCTTTTAGAATTGTAAATTTTTAGGTAACGATTGCTAACGTAGGGTGTACACAGTTTAAAATTTAATGCAAAGAAATTCAACGCATCTTACACGCTTATTGTATTTTTATGTAAATTTTATATAGCACGATTTTTTTGTATAGTATGGTATAGCAACAATAGTCAAACGATTAAAATCAGTAGTTGTTGCTTAACATCATAACAAACTTGCAGGTTATAAAATTCTAAACTAATATATTGATAAAAGTCAGCCTCCATCGCCGATAAGAATCTAGATCTAATTATCCTTAGTAGAAACGATCGCGTAACGTAGGCGTAGAGCAACGCAGCGCATACGCATAAGTGGGCGCGGCCTCAGTTCGTTGAACTTGCTTTGTTTGCCAACTCAGCTGCAGTCACGTATCAAAATAACAATATTATCATCTGTGAATGCGTTGCCTGTTTGTACTCTATTTTCTGAAATTAGCCCTTCCTCAATTTGACGTAGAATATATTTTGTTGTCAGTTAGGGCCGTAGTTGAAATAAGTTAGGTAACTAATACTTTCAAAGGTTTATAATTATGGTTTTAAAGCTTTGAAAGTGTTTTATTTAAATATGTACCACTTTCGTAAACTGCAGACGTCTTATGACTCTTATAGTTTATTATTTTACGGTTTCAATGATTAGGAAAAATACGCTAAAATGTTTTATGCTTTAAGAAATAAATAACTCGTTTTATGAAATGTATATTTATTTTAGGGCCAGCCCAAACAAAATTCGTTGAAATTTATAATTAATTGTACTAATTTATTTCTATCATTTTAGTTAAAACTTAGATTAACATTAAAATACTTTTATACAGAGTAAATAAATAAAACCTTGTTAGAATACGGTTAGACTCGGTGAAACTGAAAACGTAAAACAATGGGCTCTGAAAGTAGAGAGCTATCGTCACGAAGGCACATTGTTTTCAATGCACGTAACTCGTAAAGATCAACTTCGAAAACATATTGTTATGTGCATAATATATAACGCTTTCACATGGCAATTTTGTACCTTAATGGCGATGTTTCAAAATCGAGTTATTGCAACATTTGCAACCCGTTTCGGAGAGAAATTATAACGAAAATGAAAGAAAGCCATTATTAAGACTAATAGCCAACGGGTCGTGTGTTCAATTTCTGCGAAAACCACATTGTTTTTTTTTTTGTCAAATAGATTATTAATTTTCGAAAACTTGTTAGACTTCGTTTGGAAATTCTGGATATCTTATAAATATCAAAATTCAACCCACATGCAAAAGAGCAGTACAGTTACGAATTTATTATTTATTATATTATGTAGTCCATTTTGAATGGCACGTAATAAACTAAAACCTACTTGCTATAAACTCTGTGCTCTTTTGTTTTTGACAAACACTGACAGCCCTCGCCATAACATCTAGCGAATTTCTATTAAAATTAATAACAATGTTGCATACAAAATCATATAATTCAGACCCATTGGTGGCTCTCGGTAGTGCGTCGTCTAGAGTAACTACACGTGAAACGCTTGCAGGCGTCTTTTCAACCAATTGGATTATAAATGGCGTGATTGCATAGCGATGCACGTTCTACTAAGAAAAGTAGATAATAGCATTTAAACGGTCTATTTGCAGTCAAGAAGCGGTTAATTTTACTAATTAAGTTTGCTCGTGAAGAATATAAGCATTGCTTTGGAAAGATGTTATATCGTAAATGGCTAAGGAGCGCTCACCTACGGAATGTTTCAGGTGAGATAGCCAAAAGGTTTTGGTTGACTTCAGTGTCTTTGAATATTGTGTATCAAGTAACGAATGTAATGAGATAATTGAATATTGATTTTGATTATTTGAATTTGAACTGACACGAAGAACCAGAGTTTTACCATGAGTAATTGTTTTAAACACGAAATATTTAACGTTTTTTATTTTTGACCTGACGTTTGGGGATTCTTATTTAATGTATACAAATCTAGAGAATACTTAGATGTAGCCCTAACTCTTGCAAAGTACGTACCTAAATTTCGTATAAACCAGTAAAAGTTGGTGACGTGGGTTGTTCATATATATGCACTTTCGTTGAATTTATGGAAAATTTTGTTGATAGAAATTGCTCTTGCTATCTTTATATGTGCCTGTACTTGGGCGAGCGTACGAAGAAGTGAAAGTTGTTTGTATTTGATATCAATGTGTTTTTGTAACAGGTATTCTTAATTAGTATTATACCGAAGTACCAATAAATGTCGATTATGTATTATCCATTTTGAAATAAATATTTCAATACAATAACTGCATTGTAGAATCTATATTGTGCATACCTATGACTAGCATCTTTATGAAGAAAACAAATGCTTTAAATCAATTGGTAATGGCAGAGTACAGTGACAGCACGGAACGCTGCGGATGCCGGTTCAAGTCCGGCCCTTGTCGCATTTTTTTCAATCAGAATAAATTTTTCTTTTAGTCAAGACACATGTTAAATTGGAGTATATAACGCCTGAATTTTATCAGCTATAAATGTTATCGACCTCGTAACAATTTCAATATGATTGTAATAAGGTCTTTTATTTTTATCTATACTTACCGAAGCCAATTTTTTCTCTTACCCTGCCAATTATATTTTAAGTATTCAGAGTATTCCTGTTAAAGCCTCATCTAGATGTATTTGCTTTATGCAGTATAATTTAATTTATTTAAGCATAAAATAGTCAGTTAATTAACCTCTCAGAACACTACTTAGCAAAAATAATAATCATTTGCTATATTGTGGGTGTTTCATATTCTTTTTAATACTTATAACAGGTTATTAAAGTTCCTAATTAAGTCCGCCTCTGAAGCCAGGTAGCTAAACGTGTTGCCTAGCACTGCATTAAGCGCGAGAGGTCCTGTGTTCGAATCTCAGGGAACTAAATTGTGTCGGTTAGGCACACAAGTCTGATGCTACTACTTGCCTGTAACTCCTTCGGCCCATGCCCCACAAGAGAAAACGCGATTTCGTAGTAACAAAAACCTTAAGAATCCATAGGCCACAATATTCTCCGTCATATAAATAACAAAATGGTGTCTTTAAACATGTTTTTTTCTCCTCTGCAGGCGTAGGAAGAGGCAGCAGTCAGTCGGGGAGCGAGCGGGAAACAGAAGAGGTACCACGTGGGCCAGAAGCATCAGCCCCTGTGCCCATCCCCGACAGCGATGATCTGCAGCGACGCAAGGAGGAAGCTCGAAGGAAGCGCCGCAGGAAGAAGCGCTCCGGCAGCTCGGTCGTAACGTCTTGTTTCCAAGGTAACTGAATTAACAATTCTATGACTTTTTTCATGATAATAAAGTACGTGATCAGCTTTCTGTAGCCCTCGATGCCCTCGGAACCCAATGAGGCAGTTGATGTGAATAGTCGTTAATAAGTATAAAAAAAAGTTTGCCAATTCGTAAAAACATTTTGAAACATGGCATCCTATTTTTGTATTTGTATGAGGACAGAATAATGTTTTATATTTATAAGGCAGTTACTTAATACTTTTCTAACGTACTGTACTTGCCACGTGAATGTATTCTTAAGTTGAAAGTATTCTATATATATTTTGAATGCTCCCTCTCTCTTTAAGAAACTTTTTTCTTATCTGGGTGAATTTTTTCTCAGCATATTATTTGCTTTCTTTCGCCGGTGAAGCAAATCAATTGTTTCATTTCATTTTTATCCTTCCAGACCTGTACAAGTTAACCGGCGAGGTGCTGGGAGAAGGCGCGTACGCCTCGGTGCAGACCTGCGTGAACATCTACACGGGCCAGGAGTTCGCAGTGAAGATAATTGACAAAGTGCCGGGGCACGCCCGCGCCCGGGTCTTCCGCGAGGTGGAGACCTTCCACTACTGTCAGGGGCACCCGAATATAATCCAGCTCATTGAATTCTTTGAAGACACCGACAAGTTTTATCTTGTCTTCGAAAAGGTTGGTCCACTTCTGTTTCGGCTGTTTTTCTTTTTTCCTTAGTTTATATATTTGATATTGTTCTGGCTTCATAGTTATTATAATTGTTTCTTATTTGTTTGTAAAATGTTAATTAACACGGGCTCTCTATGTAATGTTATTATGCAAGCCGTGGATTCGATCTCCACCGGGTCCAATATTTTTCTAATCAATTTATAATTTCTCTGTAACATGTTTGGACATCGTCTGGAAATCTGGATATTAAATTATAGAAATTCAATAGTGTAATAGCGGTTCGGATTCAGTCTGAATTTTCGAATCCAAAAGAGCTCGACACGCATTTTGTTAAGGTGTTTCACGTACTATTAAATAAACACCGTGTTTGTCTGTGCTCTATTATAAAAAACAGATAACCCACCACCCTTTAAAGAAGTCGGTCTAAATCAGACTTGAAAACTGCATAGCGCGGCGTATAGAAAATGTGCGCTCACAATTGTATGGCCTCAGCACTGCTTTGTTTTAATGCTGAGTCACGTTGGAACAAAGTATTTCCAACGCACATCTGTTAAGTCACCATAAAATTCTTTTAATATCGAAGCGTGTTTTATACCTACGCCGTAAGGAAATTCTGCTGTGCGCGGATAAAATTAGCCGAGTTATCAATATTTGTACGGTAGAGGTCAGCATTTGCGTAATCAAGCGGGGTTAAGCGATCATCGTATGATTATTTTGTATATTGTTCTTTGAGTCTAAATATTTATGTTTTTAACTGGCTAGTTCAGATAAGCTTATCTCAGAAATTGATTGTTGTTTATATTTAAATTGCTTTTTATATTATACTTTAAGGTCTCATCCAGAACAAGCAAAATGTACTTCCATAAAGATTCTTTAAAAAAAATTCATTACAGTGGTCCAAATTATTAAAAACAAATAAATTCACGCCAGAGTGCCTACTACAGTGCGCCAGTGTATTGAGATATGACCACCTATTATTTATAACTTAGTTTGAATAAAACACTTTTAATGGATTAAAACGTTAAATGAATTTGTGACACTTCTTTACAAATTATTTTAACTAGGGGTGCTTTACAGGTGCCAATCGGCAATACATTTAAGTTCTACATTTCGCGTTTTAAACTGTTAAATTTTATTTAAATGTGTACTGCTCGCGTAAACTTCAGACAGTATATAAGTTAGGTCTTAAATTGTAAATTTGGTACTTCCCGTCCTTATGCCGTTTACTGTTTTTGAGAATGCATTTTTGGAAACCTCTTGGACCTCTCTTTAAGCAGATATAAGGCATGGTGGTATAATAGTTCCTATTGAAACAATGGTAATATCTTGATCCAGATCAACGGCGGTCAGTTGCTCGCGCGCATCCAAGAGCACCACTACTTCTCGGAACCGCAGGCGGCGGAGATAGTGCGCGAGATCGCCAACGCCCTGCACTTCCTCCACGGCAAGGGCGTGGCCCATCGCGATCTCAAGCCCGAGAACATTCTCTGCGTGCACCGCGACAGACTCTGCCCGGTGAAGATCTGCGACTTTGACCTGGGCAGCGGCATCAGCTTCACGTCGAGCCTGGCCAGTCCGCTGGCGACGCCGCAGCTCATGACGCCGGTAAGCAATCGGACACTGACCTGTGCCCGCGACTTCGTCTGCGTGGAATAGTTATTTTGGGGATCAAATTTACTTTTGATAACTACCTCCAAAAAGCTGAGCCGGCGCCCGCGACGGCAGAGTTGGCTTTAATAAAAAAAACGGTTGGTTTAAAATCTCATATTTATTAAGCGAGCAATTTAAAATATATCTTTTTATTTTACTTGAAAACAATGTTTCTGTTTAAGCTATATCGAAAACCGTAACCGTTATTTCTAACAGTGAGGTGACAACTTTGTTCTGAAACTAAGACCGAGTAAGCGTCAAGGTTGAATTAAATAAGGTCAAATCGATCCAGTCACTTAACAATAGATATGAATTATTTAATATACTACATACAGATCGGGAATTAAATATTTTAAGGAATGTCTGAAAATGACTAACACATTTCATTCAAGGCTAATTACGTTTTGAAACGATAAATAGGCGATTGCCTTGCAAGTTAATTGACATTCTGACACAATGACAAAGGTTATTATATGCTAAACATAGTTTTGTTTTGTTCAAATTCAACGAGATTTGGTAAAATGTATATGAAAAACTGAATTGAAGAAAATTAAAAAAAAAATGGTTCCTGTGATTTACCTAAAAGATAGACAATTTTGAGAAGAATAATTATTTTATACATATTTTTGGATATCTTACCGTTTTGGAAGCTTACGCAACGGAAGCTCTCAAAGGTTCAACATCAGGATGTGACCACATCCTGATGTTTTATAGCCTAAAGCCTGTTTTAATATATGCTCGAAGTAACACAAAATATCATTGGATTTGAACAAACTCTTCAGCTTTATAACATTCCTTATATATCATATATGTTCTCCTTTCAGGTCGGAAGCGCTGAGTTCATGGCCCCGGAAGTGGTGTCGCTGTTCGCCGGTTCCGCTGCGACGCACTACGACAAGCGCTGCGACCTGTGGTCCCTTGGCGTGATCGCGTACATTTTGCTGTGCGGCTATCCGCCGTTCCGGGCCAACTGCGGCGCAGATTGTGGCTGGGAGCGCGGCGAGAATTGTCGCGCTTGCCAGGACCTGCTCTTCACTTCTATACAGGTAAAAACACACAATTATGTATTGCTTATACATTTTAACTTAGTATAAAAAAAGTGCATTCGTTATCAGTGCATAATGAACAGAAATTTTCTTTTATTACTTATTATAATTAACTCTTAAGTGTTATTATACATCGTATGCGGACGTAAAAAAAAAAATTCCTCTGTCTTATCATGTAAAGGTTCTCAATATTAATAATTAATGCTTTGTATATTGCAGGAGGGCAGATATACATTCCCCGACGAGGAATGGGCGGACATATCTCACGAGGCGAAGGATTTGATCCGGCAGCTGCTAGTTCGCGAGGCGTCTCACCGCCTCAGTGCGGAGAGAGTGCTGCAGCACCCGTGGCTGCGTGTGGCCGATTCCGTGCTCTACCCGCCGCTGCAGACACCGATCAACATTAAGCGGTAAGTTCCAACACAAAACATAATTTTACGTGTTAGCGTTTTTTTTTTTTTTAACCCTTATAAACTAAAAATATACATATTTTTAATTTAGTAGGGTTAAATAAATTCTATAAGAAACAATTTAAATAAAACACTCAAAATATATTAGTAAATGTTATTGTAACCACAACCCGACCTTCGGATGTTTTGCAGCAGCCAAGGTCACGGGAGGACTGAAGAGGGAGGGTGTCCTTTATATCTACCTAATTCTCTACACTACACTACACTACTTGTTTTCTCGTATTTGGTATTTGCATAAACTACCTGGGTCCTTAGTCACTTCATATTTCTCGTTTTCGAACGTACCTGTACATTTGATCCGCTTTTAATCTGATACTGCTTTTAAACTGCGGAGAATAAGGAAATAAAGGAAATATTATTTGCCCAACAGGAATCTCTCGGCGCGCAACCTGTCTAACTTCGCGGAATCGGCCATGGCAGTGAATCGTGTGATCCAGCAGCACTTCTCGATGAACTATTCCTACATGGAGCGCCCGACGCCGCTGCGCTGCACCAAGTCGTGTCACCCGTCACCGAACCAGATCATCGAGGAGATGCAGAATATGGCGGTCGGAGATTACTGCGCTCCGTTCGGCCTCTCGCCGCCGACTGAATCGCAACTGCTGCGCCGCCGGCTGCAGTCCACAGATAAACCACTCCCCGTGCATTAGCTGTACAGATGTGGGCATATACTTATCAAAACTCCATGAGTGCAAACTGGAAAAACCTGTTAGCCAAAAATAAGCTCAGTGCAATTAACAGAAATCAAATTAAACATATTGTTAAATTATTTTATTGAATATTTATCCGATTTTAATTGGCAACACGGAGTATACTCCGTATAGTACATTCGGTTTAGGTTTTTCGTTGGTGAACATATTACAGCAGATAAGTATATGCCCATGAGCGCCGGTTACATCAGTGCGCCAGTACACCTCATCGCTACGTTGTTAGAGTAGATCTTAACTGTAGATAACCTACCGTCGTAAGATTGCTCGGGGTTGGCTTATCGATGTGATGTCACCGGTTACTCCCGCCGATTTGCCAGACAACATTGTGCGGCAGTGCTGGACCGCGGGGCGCGGGATTTGATTTAGTTTTATAAAGTCTACAGATGTTGCATTTATGCTAAGCCAAATTGAATCAAATTCCGCGGCAGTGAAGGCGTCTTTACATTTCTAAATTTTAAAAAACACAGCCGGGTGTGCGCAGTGTTGGGAATATTATAGCGATTTGGGCTCGATGTGGCAGTGCCCGTTGCGTTCGTCCGAGCACCTTCATACGGGACTCGGAACCGGTTTATTTAACCGGTGAATTTATATACATTTTTTTTTCTACAATAATTTAACGACTTAAATTTAAAATTATAACATGAATTTGAACCGGTGTGAAGAACCTAACTTTAATAAGTCGGTTTCGAGCCCCGCCTTCATGTGATATGTCCAGAGGTGAGTGGCGATTTGTCGCGCGACAAGTCCATAGACCGGTTGCGCGATGCGATCGCGCGATTCGGTCTCGACGTGAGACTGTGCCAATGGATGAATATTCCACCAGTGATAGATCCGATCGCAATTACTGTGAACGGTACTTAGAACTGTAACAGTTTTATTTGAGCCTTTTAAAGATATATTTTTATGAATAAATAAAAATGACTGAATAGTTCTTATCGATGTAGAGTATTTTGTGAGTTTATGTTGAGGCGGCCCCCGCCGAGACCGTCCCGGGTCGATAAAATCGTATTATATTGAGATAGTTGTGCTTATCTACATACTATTACTGCTACAGATTTTTTGTTGGATTTAAGAAATCCACTGTTAAAATTGTGCTTATGCGTGATTGCCTTTTGTTCGTGGCCTATCCTTTTGCAATAAGAAAGAACTTTTGTTGGAGCGTTTTTGGATACTAGTCTGTATATGTGATTGATTTTGCATTTTACCAACGATGGAAGACCGTTTCTCATTATGTAAGATTCAATCGAACTAAGTTTTATACGAGTGTTAAGGGCAATAAGTGACATTCAGGTCTCAGTTGGATAAACTACAATATAGGTGCTTCTTTTCATACATTGTTTCTCGCCTTGTATAAAATAGTACCTAGAGATCTCGCCTTCTAACAAACGATTAGGTTGTATGCAACATTTCGTTGTAGTTTATTCGACTTGGGCGAGGTATGAGGTTCAAGTGTAATTGTGCAAAGATCTATAATATAGAAGTACACGAACATCATAAGTTAAGGCACTTAATTTGTATGAAATGTCATAGATTATTGACTTAAACTGTTGGTTAAGAGTTGCATGGGGTTCCATGGGACTGCCATAATAATGTGATCAGTTTGAATACTTTTATATTGCTGAAAGAATGTAATGTTGAAATAATGTTAAGTGTAGACTTGCTAGATTGTAACCTGCGTACACTGATTGGAGAAAGTAACACGTAGCGATTCATTCGGTGATATTGTTTTATATGGAATTATTATTTTATATATGAAATACATTTATTTACCCCGAGCCCGGTGGCTTTATCCAATCAATTTTAAATATTTGCGCAGAATTTGTTAAATTTTTTGTTTACGACTAAATTTTTAATTTGAAAATTTATTGAAATACAAAATGTTTGAATTTCATTTGTATTTTTATTTACAATGGTACTTGTAACCTCTATGTTTTCCCACCCATTGTACTAAACTGTTAAAACAGTACATAAAAATATAATTTAAGACGAGGAACTAACAAAATTAAATCTTATTTTGACTTTCAATTTTTAAATGCGAGATGTCTAGTTGAGTATCCAGCAAAATACATCGAGTGGTAATTTTGTTTTCTAATATTTGATGGCCTGGTAACGAGACTTTTAAACCAAAGCACTAATGACTCATCGATGAGCATAGATTATACTATAATGCTATTCGTTATTCTTAATTTCCTAAACTATGATGCCCACCAACTCGATAAAACACTACTACTAGTCTATATAAAACATTTTAGTTCTTATGAATTTATCATTCTCATTAAATTGCATCTACTATTTAATTTGGCTTCCAAACCGCATTTTAATTTATTATCGTCATACTATTATAAACTAATAATATGACAAAGAATGACAATTAACTTGAGATTTGACGTATGTCAAAACTTTGTCAAAATCAATTTCGTCCTCCGCTAGAGGGCGTGTTCATTGGCACGGCCACGTAAGTCAGGGTCGAAATTTTCTTCGTTTTACAGTTTTTTCGCGTTTATTGTACGTGTTGTGCTAATATGTGAGAATGATATAGTTGCAGTCGTTGTGCATAAGGTTTTTGTGTTTCTTTACGTCGTCCCAACAGCGGTAAGATGAGTTGACCGATTGCACTACTGTCATCCTTAATGAATTAGCGTTAATTAAACATCCTTGTCGATATCAGATTCATTATCAAAATACAAATAAAATCAGTGTTATAAGACGTTCATATTGTCATTCAGGAAGTTTAACAAAACAACGTTTTAACCGTTTCAGGTATACAAGTCATGTCTAACGTACCACCTTACAATAGCAGTTCTGGGCCTCCTAATGCACCTTTAGGGCCTTATGCATTTAATCAAGGCCCACCGAGCCAATTTGCGGGGCACATAAAGCAGGATGCTAATTCGAATAATCCAACGAATGCGCCCGCGTTTAATAACCAGGCGAATCACTATAATCAAAGTGCAAACAGTTCTCCAGCTTTTAACCATCCCATAGCGCCTCCAACTTTGCAAGCAATGCAGCCTCCACGGACGAGTTACAAGCAAATACCAAATCAAAGTCCTATCGGAAATCTCCAGAATATTCCATTGAGCTCAGCCAGCCCCAATTCATTGTACAATACAAATAATTTATCATATCCTGTTAATCAAACACGTCAGATTAATGATAATGCCCCACCACTGATAGCATCTAGTCAATACCAACCAATAAATGGACCACCCATGGCAATCAGGCCACCAGTAAGCCAGTTTCAACCTGCGGCTTCATTTCCACCACCACAGCCTCAATTTCCTCCAGGCCCTATGACAAGTCAATCAAACCAATTACCCAATCAAATAGTTGGTCCTCCAAGAAGTAATGCTATGGTGCCTCCAATCAATCCACCATTATGTGGCCCTAGTATAGCAAGTTCAATGGGACTGCCTACAAGTAATGTGAATGGGCCGTCTCTGCCAGGACCACCTTCTTTCCCTATGTCTCGACCTAATGAGCCACCTAGAAACCAAATGAGGGGTCCTCCATCATTACCCATGGGGCCAATGCAGGCTAGACCACAAAACCAGCCTATGTCACTGGATCCACAGAGCCAGCAAACAGGCTTTATAGGTCATACAAATAATTTAAGTGGTCCTCAAAGTTTACCAATGCCAGGTCAGATGGGGCAACAAGCAATGCCACCGATGGGACCACCAAAAAATAGTATGCAAAGTAGATATCCCCAAATGCCTCCAAGTAACATTCAGCGGCCGCCAACTCAAGGAATGCCACCGCAGGCACCGCAAGGAATGTATCCTCCAATGCAAAACCAAGTGCCTGGATTGACCCAGCAAATGGGGCAGTTAAGTGTTACCCAGCAAGGATTTGATCAATTGTGGGGCCATGAAATGGTAGATCTTTTACAGTGTAAACATATTCTACCTGAATACCCAGAGGAGCCTGCGGAAATAAGATTGGGACCACAGTTTTCTGATGCTCCTAACTGCAGCCCTGAGTAAGTATATTTATATATTATAATATGTACACTTAGACATTTCTGAGCTATAAAAATATCTTGCAGCAAAGAAATAAATTTAATATGGTTTTTATGACTTATCAACCTTTTAAATCTTATAACCTTCCAAACGTTAAAAATATTACAAAGGTATTTTAATATTTCTGTATATATTATAAAAATAGTTTTGTAATATTACTACGGATGTATTTATATGCACATATCATATATTTTAAGTGTATATTAATTTATTAATAAAGCCTAAAAGATTTCACATATAATATAATATACAGTTAAAAGGGTATTTGAACATATGGCCATACTTGCTCTTACACAACATATAACACAATAATCAAGATAATTTTATGATAAAAATCATTTGGAGCTCAGGTTATCTTCTGGTAACAAATTTTATGACAGACTTGAATGGCTAGTTCAAATAATATATATTGTTATAACGGCTACAATATTTCGAAGTTTATCTCAGAAATGACATAGATTATTATTAGTATTGTGTATGTTTAATAATTAAAAATTTTCAACTAGATAAAGTTGTAAAGACGCAATTACTTTCACACGGTACTTTTTAAACTCAGACAGATAAAATTTAGCTTTGTAATATTAAAAGTGAATGAAATAACCTTCGTCATGCCACATTTTTTATATACAAACACAGAGATAATAATGAGTATGTTTATAAACTATTACAAGTTGCTATTGTAAACAACTAAAAATACAATAATTTGTGTATAGGGAAAGTTTTGGTGTATTTAAATAGTACGGCCATGGAAACTGTTACCTTCGAATTAAACTTCCTTACTTTGGTTTTCCTTTTACAATTTTTATGATTTAATTATCACATACTTGTTAAATGTATATATATCTATATTGTTATATAATATAACAGTGTAAATGTTTATATATTCAATATCTACTGCTGTTTTTCGGGCTGTTAGGAGATGTGAACTCCATAACATCATAATAATTCTTCGAGCAACCCGCCATACAGCCCGAAAAACAATGATGTGCTGAACGATGGCCGTGAAAGCCTTACACAATTTACCTACTGCTGTATTAGAGTAATTAGGAAAACATAATAAAATAAAATTATATATTAGAACATTAAAATTTGGGGGTTAAGAAACTTCTATATACACTGTAAAATCTCAAACACAAAATGTGGTGCATTGTGATTGAACATAGTGTTTTGTTTGATATTGACTTTATTTTTAACATCATTACTTATTATGTAATATAAAAAAAAATTGATAAAATAAACCCACATAGATAAAATAGAATTTTAACTTAAGAAACATTATAATACTAATACTTGTTGTTCTCTTTACAGAATATTCAGGAGTACAATAAATAAGATACCAGATACAAATTCCTTACTACAAAAGTCAAGATTACCTCTAGGCATCTTGATACATCCATTCAAGGACTTGAATGTAAGTGCAGTTTGCTATAAGTACATGGACTTAGCATTTACTATTTATAAAAAAGATGTGCCAAACGTTGTGTAGTTGCCCAGGGTGATACTGGACAGACTAGAGATTAGAAATTCATTTATTTCTTAATAATAATTAGCGCTTTCAATGCCTTTACAAAACAATTTCCTTTTGGACAAAGCTTTATACTTAGTCTCGTGTCCGTTTGTGACCCTAATTTTGGTCCTTGACCGCGACCTTTGTAAATTTTAGCTCTCACCCACTACGTCGTCTGCGTCCTGTTGTTCTTGTAAGTTAATGTTAGACGTACTGTCGTGGATAATTTTTTAGATTACCGTTATTGGCTCCTATTGGTCGCGTCGTGATGTTTTATTGTCCAAAGCTTCTTGATAAATGTTCCACCAACACAAAAATAATTGTTTAATTTCGAACGAGCAGTTCCTGAGATGAGTGCATTCAAACAATCACCTCTTCCGCTCTATATAATAGTATAGATTAAGTTAGAAGCAGCAAGTTATATGTATGTATGTTATTTCGGCAGCACCTCCCCGTAATACAATGTACGACGATCGTTCGCTGTCGGGCCTGTCGCACCTACATCAACCCGTTTGTGTACTTCATCGACGCGAAACGATGGAAATGCAACCTCTGTTATCGGGTCAACGACTGTGAGTGACCTTTTTTTATTGCTAACTAAATATAACATGTTTATTTTGCGGGACCGCAGGATATTTAATCTTTATTTTTTCGTATTAACCAGGGTGGTTCTTCAAGAACACAAAAACTACATTTTAAGCTTTTAGGTAAAATTTAATGCTTAGATTTAAAAACTTAATGCTTAGATTTAAAAACTTAATGGTTTGAAACGCAAAATATACAACTTAACTTATTTTTCACTAAGGCCCAAAGTTTTGGAAGCTTTGCAGTCGTGGTTCTAACTAGAGATGATCAAGACTAATGTCAAAGTCAAATCTGTTTCGCCAAAGCATCATAAGTATGGTGTGTTAAAAATAGTTAGCTTAAATATTTCGCATTTAAAACCGTTGAAATGTGTTATTTAAATGCGTACTACTTGCGTAAAGTACATACTATATTATATACGGTAACTTTTAAAATTAGACGGGCAATACATTTATTAAATCAAAACTAACACTTACATAAAAAATAATGCATTTTTATGCAGTAATAAACATTGTTCATCAAGTACAACTATTTCCTTTGTCCATCTCACTACAGTCGTTACTCACTATATAAGACGTGAGTTTGATTCCCACCTTTTTTGATCTGAATTTATATATAGTTCTTACTATTTTAAGTAATCCCTAGATTTGAACCTTGCTAAGCAGTCGACTGACATGGCCGTGGTCTTGCCGTGACCACGACTGCTGCAAAGCATCCGAAACGTCGGGCCGTAGTTAAAATATTCTCCAAATAAGTTTAACTAATATTTACGGCGTATTAATCTAATAAAACTATATATTTTAGTGCCAGAAGAATTCCAATATGACCCAGTGAGTAAATCCTACGGTGACCCAACTAGACGGCCGGAAATCAAATCTGCTACAATAGAATTTATAGCGCCCAGTGAGTACATGTTGCGGCCGCCGCAGCCAGCCGTCTACCTGTTCCTACTGGACGTCTCGCAGATCGCGAGGGATTCTGGATATTTACAGGTAAACTACAATTATTATTATAAGTTATCTGTATATTGAAGTACATGCATATTTGACTTGCTCATAATCAACGGACCCAATGGGATTAAATTGTTGGGCTTCATCTGCAAATCTGAATATTAAATGTGTGTCTGGGAATATCGAAATTCCGTCCAAGTCACCAAGAAATGAAACACTAGATCAAAAAGTTGTGAAGTTTAATTGCGTTTCGGTTTCAATCTGTGGATTTCCGAATATCAAAGCTAAAATAGGTTTACAGCAAATCTTGTTTAAATTTTTGAAAACTTTATTATTTCCTACATGTCATTGCACATGAAGGCACTTTATAATTTAAAAATCTAAAATAAATTGAAATTCCGTGCTTTTGCTCTACCAATTGAGTCGATAGCTCAATTGGTACAACGCACGATTCAAGTCCTGCCCGGGTCGACATTTTTTTCAATTTATTTTCGATTTTTAAATCTTGTTTAAATGTTAAAAAAATAATTTGCTAGGCCTAATTTTCTATTGAACCAGAACAAAGGTAACCATGTAATTAACTTTTGTATATCTTTCTTAAGTCTTATATGATTTTATTGTTATAACAACATAAAATACCCTGATTTCAACAGTTGTGCCGCGTTTATAACTCAATTATTTATCTCAGTAAAAAGTGTATGTAATTAATATTAATCTATGCAATCCTTTGCAGGTTGTTTGTGAAAATATAAAAGAGAATTTAGAACAATTACCAGGCGATGCGCGTACGCAGATCGGATTTATATGCTATGATGCTCATATTCATTATTATTTGATAAGCGACGGACTGACTAGACCAAAGGAAATGACGGTTTTGGACATTGATGGTAAGTTTCTTTGACACAAATTGCTAGAAGGATTCTTTACTAAAATAAGTTAAATTAATACTGTCGTCTGACACATGCAATAAAGACTTGTAGATCTAGTACAAAGGTTAAGCTAAAAGATAAGAATACATAGTAATGCCACTAATATGTAAATAATAATTGTTACAAGTCATGTCCAATTCATTTGATAAGAATTACTCATTTAATTAAATTATTTAACTAATATTGTGAAATCGGCTTGCTGAATGTTGTGGAAGGATAGACAAACAAACCAACATACTTTTGTAATTATAAATATGGATAGACACATCACAAAATTATATTTAATTTAAATATATAAACACGTCATTGAGAATAGTGTCTAATATTTAAATATTTACAATTTTTTCAGAGATATTTCTACCTTCCCCTGAGTCACTGTTGGTGAACCTTGGTGAACATCGTGAGATGATTCGCGAATTGCTCACTTTGATACCGCGGCGCCACTCGTTGCCGGGGGTACCGGCGTCTGCGCTAGGTGCGGCGCTACAGGCCGCCTACAAGCTTATGGTAAACGACAAAAAAATATTAGTTATATGCATCCATAAGATGTTTCACATGCCAATACAACTTGAGTTAAACATTGCTTCTCTTAGTTGAAATTACATTGCGCGAAAGGTGCGTGTATCAATAGGTTGAAAAATCCGACAATGACGTGTAAAACTCGACACTGTAGCTCAATTGGTTAGATGTCGGTACAAGTCCTGCCCCTATTGTATCTTTTTTTAAATCTAAACGCGACTTTTAATTAACTTAATTTACTTTTAAAATTATGGTAACTGGAAAATAATAGACAAATATATAACAGGGGGCTTTAAAGAGCTCCAATCACTGTCCTATGTTAAATTGCGAATACAAGCAGCTATATAACTTTATTATTTTTTATTGTAGGCTCCAACGGGAGGCAGAATAACAGTTTTTCAAACGTGTCTACCAAATATTGGCCCGGGGGCACTTCAATCAAGGTCTGTTATTTCCGTCTATCTTTTAAAAGATTTTTATTTATTTACATCTTAATAAACAAAAAGTTTCGTGTTTATTTCAGGGAAGATCCAAACGCCAGATCGTCAAAAGACGTGGCGCATTTGAATCCAGCGACAGATTTCTACAAACGGCTCGCACTGGACTGTAGTGGAGCGCAAATTGCGGTAGACTTGTTCCTACTCAGCTCGCAGTACTGTGACCTAGCCACGCTTAGTATGTATCCTTCTTCCTATTTTCTCTTTTCTTCGTCTTTGGGCCCTAAAATATTCATAATTGATTGTATCTACTGTACTATATAATATTCTAGTGACATGAAATATCGTTTGAATTTTTATTGTATAGTATATTTTTCGTATAAAAGATATTGATAGAAGACCCCATTGATAATTGATTTGTTTTTAGAATTTGAGGTAATGTTAATCTATATAAATTACTAGAGTTATAATGAAGTTTCATAAACAGCAAATGATTTGGACGGACTCATCGGTTTAATGTTAGCAATATATGCTATAATAAACAATGGGTCGGGGACACAACTCCCACGAGGTCCAACATATTTCTATTCCTTTAATAATTTTTCTCAAACATTGTACTGTTGGACTTCGTGCATTAATCTCTATCTTAAATGGGTGTTAGCAATATTGAAATGCCCTCTGGGTCAAGAACCACCGTCCAAAGTTAAAAAAAAAACGAGAAATTTAATCTCCTTCTGGTTTCTGCCAGTGGATTTCACAAAAATCCAAATCCAAAATAGGTCGATAACTTATCTTATTGACATGTTATTCGGCTGAGGTGTTTCACCTTTAATCAACTGAGACTCCATGTATGTCTTCCTCTATTATACCTATAGTACTTTGATTAACAGGCGGTATGAGTAAATTTAGCGCGGGAACCGTGTATCACATCCCGGTGTTCAACGCGAGTCGGTCGTGGCAAGCGGCGCAACTGCGCAATATGTTGACGCGCTATCTCACGAGGAAGATTGGTTTTGAGGCGGTCATGAGAGTGCGGTGTACCAGGTAATGTATTAAACAGAATTGAACTAACATACAAAATTACGCTACAGCCAGTTATCTGGCTCGAAGGACCAACACTTTAATTAGTTAGTGTTAGTAGAGTGATCTAAGATTTCATTTGTTGTGTAAATTCAGAACGTTATCGTACGTTTTGTCTAGAATGATAATTAAGGAACTATTTTAAATAAAACACTAACGGTTTGAAATTGATATATTTTATAGTTAAACAATAATTAGTAAAATTAATAAACTAAACGAACTTATTTGAACTCGCCTTGGTGACGGGGAGTAAATAGTTTTCAAATAAGTTTAACTTATTAATTTCGCGTTTCAAACTGTTAAAAAAAAAGTATTTTATTTAAATGTTTACTACTCGCCTAAACTACAGAGAGTATTTATACGTCTCTGCCGCAGACATGGGATCTGTCGAGGCTGCTGATCATGGTAAGCTAAGCGAATAATAAGCTAATATATATTTATTAAATTTCAGAGGCATAGCCATTCACACATTCCACGGGAACTTCTTCGTCCGGTCAACAGATCTTCTCTCTTTGCCGAATGTCTCGCCAGATGCTGGCTTTGGGATGCAGCTGACCATCGAAGAGTCTTTATCGGACCTACAACAAGTTTGCTTCCAGGCTGCACTACTTTATACTAGTAGCAAAGGTCAGTAATAAAGATTTTAGTACATAAATATGTGTTTGAACCGAAAATAGGTAATTTTTAGTTAATGTTTGAGAAGGACAGACGAGCATGGGGTTTCTATTGACGGTAGGTGAAGTTCCCCAGCCTATAGCATCTTAATACGATGCGCTGTCGGCCTATTTTGGCTCTCGATATTCGGAAATTCACAGACTGAAACCGAAATGTGATTAAACTTCACGGCTTTCCATCTGTGGATGGTGGTTCGCGACCCGGACGGAATGTTGATATTCCTACCGCCCATTTAATAATCAGATTTCCAGACGAAGTCCAAAATATTAACAGAAAAATTATAAATTGATTCGAAAAATGTTGGAGCCGGTGGGGATCGAACTCGCGACCCGTTGTTAATCTGATTTTGAGAAAAAAAGCCAGTTTTAGACATTACAAATGTACTATTTCTTATGTGAAATGGTATTTTTTCATTACGTTATAAATATACATTTTTACAGGTGAAAGACGGATACGAGTACACACAATGGCTTTGCCGATAGCAACGACGCTAACGGACGTCTTACATGCCGCAGATCAACAGTGTATAGTTGGGCTACTAAGTAAAATGGGTAAGATTGATCTACTATGTTACTATGCTTTAGGTATACCTAAACTATATGTAACTAGCTGATCTGGAAATGGTACTTTTGCCTTATGCAGCTAATCTTATATGTTGTGTCTTTAATGTTATATGCACATACACAATAATAAAGAATAAACATAACTGTATGTTTCTTGTATTTTAGCCGTGGACAGATGCGTGACAGCATCAATGTCTGAAGCGAAGGAAGCCCTGATAAATGTAGCTATAGATGTGCTGTCAGCACATAAACTATCACAAAACTTACCGGCCGGTCCTGCTAGCAGCTCCCTTCATGCGCCTTTGCCGTTGCGGTTGCTGCCTATGTATTTATTGGCACTGTTGAAAACGGTGAGAAATACTTTTAACAATCTATCTTTAAGTAATAATAGTAATAGTGCGTGTTTTCGAAGGAATAATAACTAAATAGTAGCCATTTTTCTCATCATGTCTAAATTATTATGCATTATTATATACTCTCGACTTATTTACTTATAGTCATGGTTTTTAAGCCTTCGCTTAATTGCCTGCCAAAGGAGATGAAAAAACTGAGGTCTGCAGAGTCGGTTCCTTTAAAAATTTTGTTAAGTATCAAGAAATTATTGTTTATAAATAAATGATGTCTGATTACAGAAAGCGCTTAGAACGGGCACGTCGACCCGCCTCGATGAGCGCGTGGCAGCTATGTGCGATCTGAAATGTCATCCTCTAGCTCAATTGATCCGCTTGGTGTATCCGGATCTATATCCGATACATTCTCTCGCGCAGCACGTTCACAAAGAGGATGAGGAGTTAGTGCCTGATCCGCCCAGACTTCAGCTTACATCCGAAAGGTAGAACCAGATAACAGACACATATAATTGTCGGCTTTATTATATAAATAGAAATATTTTAGTATTTGTATAGTTTAAGCACGAAATACATCATTAGAGCCTTTTTTGTAATTACGCACAGACATTTCGGATGCTTTACAGCACGGGAGGGCATACATAAGTTTAACTGACGCTTTGCGCTTTAAACTGTTGAAAGTGTTTTATTAAAAAGGTATCCTCTATTTGCTAGAAAATATTAATAGCAAAAAGGTTAATAATTGTTTGTCCTTCTTTATTGAGTATTGTGAGTAAGAGATAATGCTCTATTAACTTTATTTAACTCTACGCAATACAGCGTACACATTATACGGAACTAATAGTGTCATTTTTATTGTATAAGTCTTAACAATACTAACTTATATCTAATAATGGACTTGTGTTTGAATAAAATGTATTATTATTAAATTAAGTAAGTCAAGGAGTTGGGGTATAAATCGCTTTTCACATTACCGATATTTAAATACTGTCTGTAGTTAACGCTTTAACGGTTTAAAATGCGATATATATTAGTCAAACTTATTTGGAAATTATTATAACTATGGCCCGACGTTTCGGATGCTTTGCAGCAGCCGTGGTCTGTTGGTGGCAGTCTCCCCGTGAATTTAAATAAATTAATAGTATTTTATAGTTTCCCAATCTATATGATTTGTTATTTTACAAAACAATATTAAAAAGACAACTTTCTTTAAATTTCTTTTCCAGAATTAACCTAAACGGGGCGTACCTGCTGGACGACGGTGAAATAATGATCGTGTACATTTGTAACTCGGTCAGTCCCGCCTTCTTATCGGAGACGTTCGGTGTGACCGCCTTCTCACAGCTACCGGATGAAGCCACTACTCTACCCCGCTTAGAGAACGAGGGCAGTGCCATGTTGCACTCGTTTATAGACAAATTGAACGACGATAGACCGTACCCATCTAATGTGCTTGTACTCAGGTAAATTATTTTTCATGATATATAGAAAATTACTAAATATAACTCGTCAACATATTGGTTCATAAGCTGATAAACCTTATGGAAAACTGTTTAGCCGTTTTTATATATCAGTCAAACAAGCATGCGGAACTTTATGGATGTATGATGTATGTGTATGTACTCCAACAACATCTAAATAAGACGTGCTGTCGACCTATTTTGGCAACGCCAATTCAGACATCCACAGGCCGAAACCGAAACGCGATTAAATTTCACGGGCTTTTAAATAAAACACTTTAACGGTTTAAAACGCGATATATTAGTTAAACTTATTTGGAAATGATTTTTAACTTCGGCCCGACGTTTCGGATGCTTTGCAGCAGCCGTGGTCACAGGGAGACAACGACAAACATCGGGCCGAAGTTAAAAATCATTTCCAAATAAGTTTAACTAATATATCGCGTTTTAAACCGTTACAATGTTTTATTCAAATTGGTATTCATTTTTACTTTCAGGGATAACTCGCCATCGAGAACGAGGTTCACGGAACGACTGGTGGAAGATCGACTCGAGTCTGCGTTCTCCTACTACGAGTTCTTGCAACACGTCAAGAGTCAAGTGAAGTGAGATTGTGTAATAAACGTGAGCCAAGCGGGTGTAATTGCGTCGTGTGGTATCGTGATAGTATCTGTGGTCAGAATATTGAATCTGTGGGCAGTGTCTATTGGTGAATTGGGTTTTGTCCGCAGCTGTACTCATATGTGTCGAAAAGTATGTTTGAATTCCATTGTATCTAGAAATATTTCTTAAATTTAATTTCGCTCAGCAATATCCAAATATCATAAATTGATATATTTGTGTTCTATTCAAACTTCGGGAAGACAATCGTGCTGCTGTAAATACAATCGATTAATGAGACAACGTTTGCCCCATACACCGCAGGGACGAACGGTATTTCACTATTTTAAATATTTTTATTACAAATAATAGTAAAACCAAGTTTTTTTGATTTAGTTAATTTCGATTCGTGTGCAAAACCTTTTTAAATACATCGAATTGTTTATAGCTCTTAATAGAGTTTGTTAAGACGTCTTGTTCTATTGAATTAGTTAGCATCACAAATGTCAGCTGTGGACGAAAATGTGTAAATATATCATTTGTGTACGTTATATAAATAAATAATCATGTTCAAAGCAATTTAACCTAATTAGGAGATAAATGATTACATTGTATAAAGTTACACTAAAGTTAATTATCACGACACTGCCCTTAAAAATTCAGTACATACATTGTTATGTAAACATCTTTTAATAATGAGATGTAAGTAATGTTTAGATCCGCTTACTGTCTTAAGCCCCGTATTAGATTTCTTCTACCACGGGGTCTTGGATTTATATATATTGGGTGCAAGAGTTGAATAGTTAAGGAAACGAATAAAGTAGAATCTCCCTAATCCGACATTGCAACACGTCCAATCATCCGGCGAAGCACCCTCATTTGTCACTTACCCTGTATCACTCTCCTGTACCTGCCTCGTCCCTTTCCCGCCCTTGCACTCCCCCCGCGCCTCACTTGTCCCTTCCCCTTCCACTCCCCCCGCCCCTGTACCTTCCCCCTTGACCTTTCTCCCCTCCTCTGGCCCCGCGTCTTCTTCGCCCATGCATTAATCCAATCTTTGCAATATTCCGGTACATCTGGATTTAAAAGGTGCCGGATAAGTGGGATCGAAACGTTATTTCCTTAAAATTCGTCCCAATCACAATAATTCGACTTACACGTGTTTTTATCACCTCAAATAAGTTACTCTTATGAAATGAAAGGTGATATTGGAAATCAAAGAAAAAATTAATGTTATGAACGTGAAAATGTAAAGTGTAAACTCTTTAGTTCGTATTATATTTATTCTAAGCTAGATGAAATTGTATGTGAGGGAATTCGATCTAGGGTTACGCGTAATGATCAATTTAATTCCATCGTTATAGTCGGGATGATTACTTGGCGAATTGTTCTCAAGTCAAGACAATATAGGGATTGTACACCAATTTTGGTTCTTAGCGTTAGTAATTTCCACAAGTTGGTCTATAAGTGCCCTAACATGACTGTACGACTTATACTTACGAGTATATTTTATCTTAGAGGCAATATATTGTACAGATTTAATGCTCTACCGAATAAATGGTCTATTTATATTATTTTGAGATTTTATTTTGCAACTACCGGATCCGGCACAGGTTTTGTTTATAAGATTATTATTATACAGATATAAGTCCAACAAATAATTCGTGATAATGCATCAATTTTGACCAAATTTGATTATTATAAAGACGTTTGTTACAAGTTAATCTTAAAAGATATGTTTTGAGATTATTTACGCAATGGAAGCCTGGGATAAATTTCCACGGTTTCCTCGCCTAAAGTTTTTAATACAAATGTTATTTTCAATACAAAATAATTTTAACCATGTTGAAACCAAAAAACTCTTCGTCATTGTAATGTTGTGAAACGCCAGTTCCCCGCGACCACGACTGCAAAAATGTTATTTATATTTCACGTTTTAAACAGTTTGTGTTTCTTAAATACTATTGGCGTCAACTACAGACAATAATTAATCTCTGTTTCGCATATATCTGAAAGAGACGGACGTAGTAGGTCACCTTCACTACTCATAAAAATCAATTACTTCTTTTAGATCACGTTTAATTTTATTTTTAAAGTCCAAACTTAATTATAATAATATTTAATGATCGAGAAATAATTCGTCCGTAAACAAAGAACTCAGGTGCCAATTAAGTTACCACCTGATAAGAAAAAAAGGGTACTATTAAATATTTCTGTAAAAAGAAGATAACGTTTTTTTGGTCTGCTTAAGAAGTAGAAAAGGGCAACGAAAAGAGATTCTCAATGTCTTTTTGTTCATTATTAATAACGACCATACCTTTTGTACGCGTATTAAACCGTTAAACGTATTTATTTCAATATCAACTACTGGCGTGCTAAGCCCTCATATAACTTAGGTTAGTTAAAATGATACATCGCAAATGTGTATAATCTGTATTTTACTTGACGATCTCCAAGTTATCGTCGAGAGCGAACGGCCAAAAGTCCTTTGGTGCATACTCGCTCCTTCTAAATATCGAGTCTTCGATGAGCGCCCAGAACCACCGATGGCTTCTGGCTCTTAGGAATTTTCCAGACGACTCCACAACTGCGTTTATTGCTCGTCTACAGACCTGGTCCCGTTCTGAGTAAGTATTGAAGGCGAGATTCTTAATGTTGCAGCGGAATATCTATAGGAAAACTTATTGGACTATATTTTTTCATGATAGAGAAGGACAGACACGACATGGGGTTCACATCATGGTAGGTGATATACCTCAGCCTATAGGACATAACAAAGATGAGCTGTCGGCCTATTTTGGATTATTATATTAGATATTCGGAAATCCACAGACTGAAACCGAGAGATTAAGCTTCACGGTTTTTTCATCCGTGGACATGGTTCGTGACTTGGGTGGAATTTCTATATTCCTACCACCTATTTCATATCCAAAGAACTGTTTTAAGAAATCAAGTGAATATTAACCCACGTCAAAAATGATTAACTGCATTAGATATTGTAAAGGATTGAATGTTATTTCTATTACCTTTGTGAAAAAACTTGAATAACAAATTTGGACAAAATAATTATGGACGTAAGTAAATCAAGAAAAACGTCACTTACTTACTCTAAGGTACAGTGGCTGTCCTTGGAACTACGATTATTATTTTATTATTTAATTAAAAATACAAAGTCTCCGTCAGCAAGTTACTTTGTGTATTGTGAAATTTAAATAAAACACTAATGATTTAAAACTCGATATATTTTCCTTAAAATTGTTTGAAAATTATTATTAACTACGGCCCGACGTCTCGGATGTATTAAACCGTTAAAGTGTTTTATTTAATGTACTACTCGCGTAAACTACAGACAGTATTTTATTGTTATATTTCTTAATTTGGGAAAAAAACTGATACCCATCATCCCATCATAATGGTTATTGTCTGTCGCCATTTGTCGTAAAAATGATTATTGATTTTACCTAATAAATAAACATTGTATACCGATATTCTCTTTTATTAAAAGGAGATATGTTACCGGTTTTTTATTGTTCGCTTAAAGCTGGAAAACATTACCTCATGACCACACATTTCTAGCATACAGTAGTTGATAAAATCCACTGGCACTAAATCCACGCGAAACCCGAGTGTTTGAAGGTGATCTGAATAAACATAGTGTATTATGTAAGATTAACCAAAACTATATCGCTATATTATCAAGGATTTGTAGAATCGCATAGAAAAGCTTAGAAAAGTGGGCAAAACGTTTTGATTAATTTTGTTTACTTTACATCAATTAGTCTTTGTATCTGCGCACACGCAAAATTAATTTCCTCAAAAAAGTAAGCTTACTAAAAAAAGTAATTAATTGAGGAAAACCGTAGCCGACTTAGCATTGGCACTAGGATAACTCTCTCGTGGATATAAACAAATTTTACTCGAGTTTAGTCATCAAGCCAAAAGTTACAACGGTATCTAAAAATTTGACAAATGGTACTTGCAAACAGACAAACAAACGGAGATAATCTATACAAATATTTTAAAGTATTGTTTGTTTGTTTGAACGCGCTAATCTCAGAAACTACTGGTACGAATTGAAACATTATTTTTGTGTTAGAGCATTTATCGCGCAAGGCTATAAATCATCTCGCTACGATTAATTATAGGCGGAGAAAAAAAGGAAATTGTGGAAAAAAGGGGAAAATTGTTCATTTTTGGCGGCCCAAAACCGTTCAATAAATAGAAAAAATATGTGTTAAAGAATGATTCTTCCTTGAATGATTGGAATGACCTGCGACTGTAGAAATCTATGTTTTAATATTAACTCGCACGAACAATGGGACGCGGGCGACGTTATTGGTAATAGCTATAATTTATAAAGATAAGGTGGTTGTTTGCTAAAATAAATAATATGGTGGCCAAAATAACTCCACGGCGACTAAGTCGCGGGCATAAATAATTAATAATATAACAGATACGAGTAGATAACAAATGGTTGCGCAAACGCGTCATTTGAGTAATCAAATAGGCTAGGCTGCTATATTATTATTTATTTTAGATATATCAACTGTGTAATAATTATTATTCCGTTATCATCAAGATATGCATTGCGTACTAATGATAAACTAATTATGTACGCTTCTATATGTGCAGCAGTGGGTGTCAGCAGACTGACAGTGCGTAATTTGTAGCCTTATGATATTAATTTTTAAGCTATTCGCCTGAGCATATTTATGCAGCAGCTCCGTAACTATCATATTTTACATCTCGACCATCTGACCTGGCCTCTTTGCCCAAATAAAGTATTCAAACCAAAATATATATATATATACACAATTTGCAATATTATGTTTGAAAATATTGAAAATTGTCCCTCTCACCTCTGAGCCCTCGCAGTTTTTGCGGCTTATGCGACACAGTGTAAAACGAATCGCATGGCCCATAATATATTCGTACATATTGCATTTCCAAAAATTAATACATTAAAAAAGCAAATAATTCAAAAAATCCTACAAAATAAACAGACCTGTCATTATAATAATCATGAAATGACATTTACACATAGACAATGATATCTTAAAAGTATTTAGATTCTATACAACTATAATTTATGGTGGCACGTAGTTAAAATAGTTCAACGATCATCTAATTCGTACAGACCTACACAGAGATACCCCACTGTGTTTCGTGTGCTTTCTAAAAAAAAAACAACCATAAAATAGCCTTTATCACTTCAACCATAAGCGATATTAAGTATAGACGAATGTACCGTCTAGTATCTAAGTTAATAAAAAAAAAACTTACACACTTTCCTTTTAGCACAAACCTAAGGGAGGTTTAGACCAAAGCATAAACTCCCTGTACCTGCTAGATATGATACAATTATGATCCAAGTCCTACCTAAAGATTCTTTATTTAACAAAGGCAGTAATTACTATAATTGTGGTTAATCTAGTTTTTCTGTTTTAAGGAAAATGTATAATTATATGATTGAAAGACAATGAATTGTTTTCCTCTTTGATTCTGAAGGACCGTCTTCGTCGCTTGTCTGTTAAGTCTTCACGTAGAGTTCTGGGTTCCATTTCCCGACGACAACTAGATCCATAGTTCAAATAGGTACCTAAAGTACTTATTACTATTTGAATAAGATTGTAAGTTATCTTTCCATAGTAAATTATTTTCATGGTATATATTAAATTAGTAGTTTATAGTTAATTTAATAGGTTGCGAAAACAAATTTTGATACCAAAAATTAATGTACGCCAAGTCGTGGCCACGGCATTGGATATTTGTAATAATACCCTATTAAGGAATTATATAAAGAATAAAAAATAACTACGTTATCAAGCTAACTAACATCTATTGTTAGATTTAAAATTATAGTATCATTAAAAATTAACTGTAATAATAATAAATAAAACAATGACTACATTTAAAATATATTTAATTGTAGACATTGTAGTTTTATTTTTAGCACAAACATTGTTGATTTTGTATAGAAACAGTAATTTTTACTACATCTAGCTGTATGTATGTGCGTCCCACCCGTTTTCTGTATTTGTTTAATTTTAAATAGTGCCTACTTCTTCTATTCTAGAAAGCCTTTACAAAGGCAACAGGAAAAAAGTTAAAACAATCTCTTAATATTATGTTGTATGTTAATTGATTAAACTTATTATATGCACTATTACAAGGAAAAAAGAAAAGAAAAGACTTTTTTTTACTGTGTCACGTTTTTATTCATTAACAAGTCAATAATCAATTTTCCTTAATTTCCTGTTTGCAAAACTATTATTATGCAAATAAATTTAACGTAAAGTGATGTTATAATAAAGACTGAGATGGGAACAAGAATCGAGGTAGCTAGTCACAATTATTTTTTTCATTATATATATTAAATATTGTCTAATTTACCCAACATTCAAATATAAAATCTTAAACGATTTAAAAGCGAAATTTTACAAGTTTAAGTTGAAAAACGGGAGAGGTCATTATCAAAATTTTAATGGGTTAGGACTCGGTACTTTGTAAATGCCGGAAAGTTCTCCTAATCGGAAATTTTTTTTTTAAATTTATTTTCGATTTTTAAATTATATAGCGAAATACGAGTTAATTTATTTTAAATATGGCCCGATGTTTCGCTTTCGCGTTTTAAACTGTTCTGTTTAAGTTTTGTAGTTTTAAAGAAAAAATATGAGGGGAACCTATATTAAAACAAATGCATCTCTCACTTTACCAGTTAATTTAATAATACTTACGCTTTTTCTGACTCGTCTCAAAAAAAAACATATTTCAGTACAATCACCTTTAAAAAGGTGTCTACTTAAAACAACCCAATTATTTTTTAAAAGGTTTCTTGATTTATAGTTGTCGCAATTTTAGTTTCAGTGGAATACCACCTTTAATACCTTGCACAGTGTTACTCCAAGGGTTTACGGGTAGTTTTGTGGGGGTTTTCGCTGACGGTTCAACAGTGAATTTCCTTAGAACAGCTGCTAACCCAGCTAAAGATTGCATATTACCCAGACGGGCACCTGAAGGATAAATAAAAACATTAGAATATTGATACGTTATCACCCGAACTTTTGTATTTTAAAAATTCGCCTTAGACTTATTAGGAATAATTATTAAAAGTGTATAACAAGAGCAGGTATTTATTTACCAAGATGCAAGGCTCAAAACGGTTACCATGAAAATTCATTGTTAATCTTTTGTCAGGATTATTATATTAGTCATTATAATGCTGAAATATACATATTAATGCCAATCGTAAACTTAATTTTTCCTTAATACTTTTAAGGTGTTCTGAATGCAGAAACTTCTTGACAATATGGCGTTGCCTCTGTATAATCTCTGGTAAGTTGTAATACCAAATAAAGTCTAAAATCCGAAGTTTTGTACGTTTTAAGTGTTTATAGAGCGTAAAAACTGTTATCTAGTTTCTCAACGTACGTTTTTATATGATAAAGTGATATGAATGGTAAATGTTTATAGTGTGCGGTGGTTTCTCGACACATCGCAGTGTATACATTTTTTTATTTAATTTTAATTAGGAATTTAACTATGAAAATAAATATCTGTGCTATAATAATTTAAGCAATCAAGTACTTACCAATACAAGCTCTGGGTCCTTCGCCAAATGGTAGATAAGCATATTTATTAATGTTCTTCCCTTCTTCTCCTGCAAATCGCTTTGGTCGAAACTCATGTGGTTTGTCGAAGTATTTTTCATCCGTCTGTATTGCTTGTATCGGTATTATTATTTTGACACCGGGATCAATGGTAACTCCCAATTGTGGTATGGTGCATCGCTTTGCACACTGTCGCTGCAGGAATCCCAAGGACGGGAACAATCGCATCGACTCCTTGAACGCCATATCCAGAAGCGAAAGCTCAGAGATTGCATCATAGCACAATTTATTATCGTGTTTAGCTAGTACCTGATCAATTTCATTTTGAATTTCAACTTGTATATCTGGATTAAATGCTAATTGATGTAGGGTAAAGCTAGTGGCCGAGGAAGAGGTTTCGAAGCCGGCTGCGAAGAATACGAACACTTGGGCTATGAGGTCAATCGTTCTCAATTCGAACTCAACTTTTTCTGGTGCTCCATCAGGCCTAGTCTTCTCTATGGATTCACATTCTATTTTACCTCTCTCTGTTAGCTCTAGTAAGAGATCGATAAAGTCGTTCCTTCCGCAAGGCTTATAATTTCGTTGCTCGAAAATCGATTCAACGATACCTGTTAAAGCATCTTGAACTTCCGTGCTTCTTACTCGAATTATTTTTTTTAATTCAGGAAACACTTCCCAAACGCCAAACATGAACGCCTGACGCAGGGGGAAGTCAAACATTTTCCTTCCTAGTTCTCTGAACGCTGATTTTTCATCGTCAATAGTGTTCATTTCGATGCCGAAACCGCAGGCACCGATAAAATCTGTAGTAAATCTGGCCATCATCTCGCGTACATCCACTTCTCCACCGTTCATAGTGATACTTTCTCCAGCAGATTGCAGTCTCTCTGCACATTTTATGATAAGAGGGAACATGGCTTTTAATTTGGCAGTGGTGAATGCCGGCGTCAACCGCTGGCGCAACAGTTTCCATCTGTCACCATCAGCGTGGAACAAGTTGCCCAACAGTGGTTCCAATTCAACATTTCTACCCATCGCTCTCGGGTAGAAACAAGAAAAATCAACACTGAGAACATTCCTTACAATATCAAGGTCACGAATGACTAGACCGGGCATCATAGCCCTGTAGTAACCGACTACTTTCTCCTCTGGATATTTGAAGTATAGCTCTGTGGATAATTCGGTGAAACTCTTCTTTCCGAATATGTTCCTAAAATGATTACCAAACAGCGGTACCGGTGGGTCATGCCTGATCTTTTTCTTGCTCCAATAACTGTAGTTGCGCGTTGAGTATAAATATGCAAGAGTTAAAATGCCCAGTGACAAAAATAAGATAATCATATTGGAACGGTTTGATCACTAGCGATGTTCAGATCTCACTGAGTTTGTTGGCGCTTGCACACCTGTTTTGATTGCAAGGATGCATCGGATATAATAACAGACAGTTATAATATTTTATTTATGTAACGTACTACTTTTTAAATTTAGTTTTCCTGTTATTTGTCCAGTCATAATTCATACCGTCAACTATTCAATCATTTCTACGGCACGGAAAGATGTACTCATAACTCCAGTCTCTAAAAAAGCTAACTCTAGCACCGTCTCTGATTTTTGACCTATTTCTATTCTGCCCTTTCTTTCTTAAGTACTAACACGCTTACACAATAACTTATTTATTTTCTTATTAAAAATAGTATTCTGAACCCACGTCAATTGGAGTTTCATTCTGACCACAATGTTACTTTACCAGGTAATGACACGGAGAAAAAGCAACTTATGATTCATACACTAACTGATTTCAGTAACGCTTTGAATACGGTGAATTATTCGCAAGTGCATCAATAAGTTCCGGAGTTCCGTAGGGCGGCGTCCTATCTCCACTTTTCTTTGTTATTTACATAAACGCCCTAACCTCTAGTCTCTCTTATCATTTCCATCTTTACGCAGGTTATCTTCAGATTTTTGTCACCTCTAGTCCTGTTAATCTACTGTTAGGTAATCGCGCTACTAATGATGATCTGACCAAAATATTTCAATGGAGTAAAAAGACTACGGACTCAAAGTCATTTCTCACAAGAGCCAGGTTATGATAACCTCGGTATTGGTAGCCTATAGCACATTTCGAGGCTCCATTGGACTCAGCCTCCTCCCGTAACCTCAAATCTTGGTGTCACATTAAAGTGAGCCAAAAGATATATGCAGCATGAATTTATCCTCAAATCTTACTTTAAGAAGTGGCTGAGTTGTCTGACGTCAGTACCAAAACCATATTGGTGCAATCCTTGCCCTTATTTTTACTAGTTTATGCCGATTTTTCCACATGATAAATTACTAGACAAACTTAACCGTCTTAAACATCTGTATCTGTTTATTTTGGCCTAAGGGAGTATGACCACGTTTGTTCATACCGTTAACAACTCTTACATATTAATCAAATCCTTTAACTTGTATACTCCGTTCTATTAAACCTTAAACCCAATGTTACCTGAAACTTAATTTAAATTTGTATACATATATCTCTAGCTATAAGTAGTCTACGTTCTTCCGACAGACTTATCCTAACTTTCTTGCACAGCACTTTCTTTCTTAGCTAATCTTTTAAGGTCTCCCATTATTATCTTTTAAATGCCTTTTTTATAAACATCTCTTATCTACAACATATACCAACTCAAACTAACATTTAATGTCTATTTGGGTTTAATTATAAGTACAACGTAAAAACTGTATATATTTAGCTTTGCACTTCCTGCACATTCCCCTAATTTAATTTAATTTTTATGTTATTTTCCTAAGAAGGGTTGCCTGGAGGGGATCGCTTAATAGCGATAAGGCCGCCTGTTTTACTTCATAGATATTTTTTTTATTTCATTGTAACTGTAGGTGTAATAAAGACTAAATAAATAAATAAAATTTTAATAAAACGCTTTTAACGGTTTATAACGAGAGTTTGAGCCATTTCTGTAAGATCCCAGTTAGTATCTGCAAATACAACTACGAGCAAACAGATGGCGCTAAGACAGACATTAGGAACACCTTTCATCTTCAGTTCCCCCCGTGACCACAGCTGCTGCAAAGCATCTCAAACGTCAGGCCGCAATTTAAATATATTGTAAATAAGTTAATAAATACATTTTAAGTATTTTAGATAAATGGTATAGATTTTAATTAAGTGAAATGTGAATTTGTATTATACTAGCTTAGCGTACGAACTAACATTATTTTTATTGTTATTAGTAGCTTTGGTTCTACTCAGAAGTGTTCTTATTGGCAGTGGCGTAACTATACCGTTCGAGGCCCGTGGCAAATTCATCGAATGGGCCCTCCCACTTCCCCAATATATAAAGAAGCTGAACCAACAATTGAGATTTCCTCTGACCGGGGGCCCCTTCGGGCTTGGGGCCCGTGGCATTTTGCCGACTTGCCACCCTATAGTTTCGCCACTGCTCATTGGTCTTATTTGAAGTCCAAGTGCGTTAGGCGCATAAATGCATAAATTTTAATTATAGAGCAACATTTTCTTTGTTTAAACACACACTATCGATGTTTACGAAACAAATTCAGAATATAAAAGAATGACGAATTATTCATAGTATCTCTCCAATTGGCTGTCTAAATTATTGTCCTGTTTAGACAAAGTACAAATTGGACAACAAACGCAACTCTCACTTTGTCTATTAATTTAATAATACGCGTTTTTAGACTCGTCTCAAAAAAAAAAATACTATAGATGGGTATATACCTAAAATTAACAACAGTATTTTCGATTTATAGTTGTCGCAATTTGAGTTTCAGTGGAATACCACCTTTAACACCTTGCACAGTGTTACTCCAAGGGTTTACCGGAAGTTTTATGGGTGTTTTCTCTGAGGGTTCTACAGTGAACTTCTGTAGAATGGCTGCTAACCCCGCTAAAGACTGCATATGACCCAGACGGGCACCTGAAGGATAAATAAAATCATTAGAATATTGATATGTCATTACCGAAATTATTATTAAGTAAAATTAACGTTCAAACAAATTACTTTATGAATTAGGTTAATTAAACTTTGATATACATTAAATTCGAAAATAAGTTTCGATTGCTCTAACCAATTGAGCTACCACCGAGTCTTCGAATATTTTGATACGTGCACCTCTCACGCAATTTTAACTTCAACTTTAATTATATATTTCGATTTTAATTTATATAGTGTCATCATGTGTAAAACTATTAAAGTTTTCATACTTTGATATTTTAATTAATATCTAATCTCTGACTTATTAGGTATAATTATTATGAAATATATAATAACACAAGGTATTAATTAAGATTTTTGGACCGCTCAAATGGTTACCATTAGAAATTAAAAAAGGTTAATAAGGAATTTTGATGGTTGAGCGTTCAAACATTGCTAATCTTTACTAATATTTATTATATACTAAATAGTATATACTAAAATAGTATATACTAAATATTAGTTATTAAATGCTGAAATATAATATAAACGCCAATCGTAAACTTACTTCTTTTAAAACTGACTAATTTTACGGTGTTTTAAATGCGACAAGATTTTTACATGATACACAAAACCTTCTTGACAATTGACAATTATAATAGCGTTTCCTTATGACTGGGTCGGGCAACTGGTTAATACCGGATAAAGTCCAAAGTCCAAAGTACGGTACGTTTTACTTGTTTATAGTAGAGCGTAGACACTATTATCTAGTAAAATGATATGAGTGGTAAATATTTACCGGAAAGATATGTGTTTGGTATTAGGACCGAAATTATTAGCAGATTTTAGGATCCATTCTCCTCCCAAAAAAGCAATTAACATATTATTTTCGATTGAAACAGTTAAATGGTGCTATTTGATGGAAATAACGTATTAATATCAAGATGATTAAATATCTATGGTATATTAATTAAATTCCATCAAGTACTTACCAATACAAGCTCTGGGTCCTTCGCCAAATGGTAGATAAGCATATTTATTAATGTTCTTCCCTTCTTCTCCTGCAAATCGCTTTGGTCGAAACTCATGTGGTTTGTCGAAGTATTTTTCATCCGTCTGTATTGCTTGTATCGGTATTATTATTTTGACACCGGGATCAATGGTAACTCCCAATTGTGGTATGGTGCATCGCTTTGCACACTGTCGCTGCAGGAATCCCAAGGACGGAAACAATCGCATCGACTCCTTGAACGCCATATCCAGAAGCGAAAGCTCAGAGATTGCATCATAGCACAATTTATTATCGTGTTTAGCTAGTACCTGATCAATTTCATTTTGAATTTCAACTTGTATATCTGGATTAAATGCTAATTGATGTAGGGTAAAGCTAGTGGCCGAGGAAGAGGTTTCAAAGCCGGCTGCGAAGAATATGAACACTTGGGCTATAAGGTCAATCGTTTTCAATTCGAACTCAACTCTTTCTGGTGATCCATCAGCCCTAGTTTTCTCTATGGATTCACATTCTATTTTACCTCTCTCTGTAAGCTCTAGTAAGAGATCGATGAAGTCGTTCCTTCCACAAGGCTTGTAATTCCGTTGCTTGAAAATTGACTCAACAATACCTGTCATCGCAACTTGAACCTCCGTGCTTGTTACTCGAATTAATTTTCTTGATTCAGGAAAAACTTCCCAAATGCCAAACATGAATACCTGACGCAGGGGGAAATCAAACACTTTCCGTCCTAGTTCTCTGAACGCAGAATTTTCATTGTTAATACTGTTCATTTCGATGCCGAAACCACAGGCGCCGATAAAATCTGTAGTAAATCTGGCCATCATCTCGCGTGCGTCAACTTCTCCACCGCTCACAGTGATACTTTCCCCTGCAGATTGCAGTCTCTCCGCACATTTTATGATAAGAGGGAACATGGCCTTTAATTTGGCAGTGGTGAATGCCGGCGTCAACCGCTGGCGCAACAGTTTCCATCTGTCACCATCGGCGTGGAACAAGTTGCCCAACAGCGGTTCCAAATCAACATTTCTACCCATCGCTCTCGGGTAGAAACGTGAAAAATCAACACTGAGAATATTCCTTACAATATCAAGATCACGAATGACTAAACCGGGCATCATACCTCTGTAATAACCGACCACTTTCTCCCCTGGATATTTGAAGTATAGCTCTGTGGATAATTCAGTGAGACTCTTCTTTCCGAATATGTTCCTAAAATGATTACCAAACAGCGGTACCGGTGGGTCATGCCTGATCTTTTTCTTGCTCCAATAACTGTAGTTGCGCGTTGAGTATAAATATGCAAGAGTTAAAATGCCCAGTAACAAAAATAAGATAATCATATTGGAACGGTGTGCTCACTACCAATGTTCAGATCTTACTAAGTTTGTTGACGCTTGAAAACCTGATTTGCAAGGAAGCGATATGCGTGGTACATAATAACAAATAATTATCATATTTCATATATGTAGTGTACTTCTTCGGAAGGTTATACACCGTCGTTTATCATTTGTGATAAATAAATTATTTGAAACAATCGTATTAATAATTAGAGATTTACTTAAGTTGAAAACCTGTTTAGAGATAAACGATTACGCGTGAGCTACGTTTATTAGATCAAAGAACATCTTGAGTCATATTTGTAAGGAACCTGCATCTCCAAATACCAACTACGAGAAAACAGTTGGCGACAGGACAGACATTAGGGAGATAATATAGAAAATAAGTACACGCCAAAAGTGTTTTATATAAATATAAGCTATTTTTGTGAAATGTGAATATATATTATACTAGAACCTAAATTAGTTCTATGGTGATAAGTAGCTTTAGTTCTAACCGGAGGTGTTGTTAATGTTCTTCTTCGAATAGAAAATGCGTATTGCATAATAATGCTCTTATTGTTTTTTTACAATTATACATAACACCTCTCTTGCTAGCTATCCACATTATTCTCATATTTAGACGAGTACATAATTAAAGTGGCAAAATTGTTTATTTATTTATTAGATTCACTAACGTTCTTACAACTAAATACTTAACCTAAGATACATGTTTAAGGGGACAGAATAGGTTGTGAAGAACAATTATAGGCGAATACAGCAAGTAAAAACAAATATTATAAGAGAGAAGAGCACACATTGTAAAATTTAAGTGGGAATTAACTTATACATTAAAATATGAAAGAAAGAAAAATAGTATACAAAACAAAGTTTTTTTTTTAATGAAGTGCCTATACATTGAGATTAAATTTATTATTAAGTAATCGACGGAGTTTGTTGGGTGAGTCATGGTAAACATCGACTAGGCCACTGAATCTGTTTAGAGTAGAGCAACTGGGGAGTTTGAGCCACCGTTTGTTCTTCGAAAAGGCACAGACAATGGCAGGTTTGGTTTACGGGGGAGTCTATAGGGTATATAAAAGTCAAGCTTCTGGAGTAGTTGTGGACATTCTATTTTATTATTTATAAGTTTACTTACAAATAGCAAATCTGATATTAAATATCTATGTTCTAGAGAAACAATATTAAAGAGGCATAATTGAGCAGTGTAAGATGGTATTTTTTCCGCGATAAACCACTAGAATATATATATAGGATAAATCTTTTCTGTATCCTTTCTAACCATAGGGTGCGAGTAGCATTGTGAGGCCTCCAGACGACCGAGCAATATTCCAACAAACTGCACACTAACCCATTATTGTTGGAATTATATATTCTTAACTTACAATTTAAGGTTACAGGTTAATTAAAATAGCAAAAAAGAAAAAACTACGCCTTTATAAAAATAAGTATGAATAATAATATCACGGTATAGTCTCTTCAAAACTTGCAGGCTATTTAAAATTGGTCAAAAATATATTATTATTAGCGCCACCATTTTGGAATTCCGTTATTGAGGGATAAATCTATTAACACTAATATATAAAGCTGAAGAGTTTGGGTGCTTGTTTGAACGCGCTAATTTCAGGAACTACGGGTCGTTTTAAATTATTTTAAGTAATTCTCTTTGTGTTGGTTAGAGCAATGGTTTAAATATTTAAATAAAACACTTTGACGGTTTGAAACGCGATATATTAGTTAAACTTATTCGAAAATGATTTTTAACTTCGGCCCGACGTTTCGGATGCTTTGCACGGGGAGACTAGTATATCGCGTTTCAAACCGTTAGTGTTTAGTTAAATGTGTCCTACTCGCGTAAACTATAGACAGTATTTTATTGGCTAGAGCATTTATCGAGGAAGGTTATAGGTTCAAGGTATACAAAAAATATGTACAAGAGAATGAGTCTTCTTTAAATTATAAAAAAAATGTGTATACGAGTATGTCTATCTATTAAGATAAACTCGCAAGAACGACGGGAACCAAACGACGGGTCGCGAGTTACGGGACGCGACCGATAACGTAGGTAACAGTTTGCAAAAAACAATTTCGGATGCCCAAAATAACTATTCAGCAACGACAAGTCGCTGACTCAGCTAGTATTCAATATATATGAATGCTGTATTACGAATTAGCGCTTTCTATTGTACATAATAAAATATTAATAAATAGTTTTTAATAAATCAATAAAATATATGTTTATTATTATTGTCTCTCTCTTAATAATTAAATTACAAATAGTATTGAGGCTATTCCAGAATGATTGACATTTAGTTTATAATTATGTTAATTAACGTTGGTCAGCTCAAAATGTGTGTGTGAGACTGTGTATTATGTGAATGCATGAATCCGTATGTAAATGTATTTGTGTGATGTGTGAGTGTATGTTTAGAAATTGTAAAATAAGTAATAATAATTGTCCTTCGAAAAATGTTTATAGTATGTAAGCATCAAGTATAGGTTAACTTAGTCAAATCAGGATCAGTTCAGTTTCCTCGTATGTTGCTTTTTGAGCCATTCAGTTAAAGCTACTTTGGCCTTGCGAGAAGTCAATGGATAGATGTTTATTTTTAAATTGATTCTATTATATATATAGTTGGATTGCGTGTATATTGACGTCTCGCAAAGGCAGTGTGCACCTTTGGAGGATTTGCTACTGTATCACGTCAAACAGGTTTCGGTTTCAGTGTGTGAATTTCCGAATATCCAAAGCCAAAAATAGATCGGCAGCACGTCCGCGACTAAACTCCACGGTTTTGGCAGGAATGGTGATTCGTGACCCGGACGGAATTTGGATATTCCAACCCATTCATTATGCAGACGATCAAACGAAGTTCGCCGCTTCAGAAAATTATAAATTTTGGTCTAGGTGAGGATCGAATGCACGACCATTTGATTTTTAGCCGTGCATTGCTTCCATTACACCAACGGGCCCGGAAAAATAAGTTTTAATTAAAATATTTCACGTTTTAAACTAAATGTCAACGTGTTTTACTTGAATTGTCTCGTAAAAAGCGATAAAGGTGTGACGGCGAGTTTCTTGCCAGTTCTTCTCGTTCGCAGCGTTTGATTTGAGAACTGGTAGTAAATGTTAAATTAGAGTTTCCAGTTTTTAACTAGTAAAGTTCATAAGTGACCTTACTAGTTGACTTATTTTGAATTTGAAACGTCGGGCCGATTTAACAATGAGTGGAATAATATTTTTCACGTTTTAAACCGTTATAATTGTTGTAAAATAGATGAGAACCAACATAGGGTTTAATTGAGGGATCGTGAAATATTCCAACTCTATAGCAAATAATAAAGATGAACTGTCGATTTTATCTATGGACCTTCGGAAATCCATAGATCCAAAAGCGCCACGCGAATTTTCAGTCTGTGGATTTCCATTTTTGGACTATTGTAGGTATGGAACCATATTTTTACCACCCCTTTGTTGTTCATTTTCTACGACAGCATAGTTAGATTAAATTTAGGTAATACGATTAAGTAAGATGTTGGAGCCAAACGGAGTCCATCGTCCACTAAGTTATTCTCTGAAATATCGATTAAACGAATTCTCTAGAAAAAGGAGTGCGTAAATGCATAAGATTAAAAACGGAACAATTTATTTTGTCAAACAATTTCAATATTTGCACAGCTGTTAATTCTTATCAGACATATTTTGGTGTTTAACCTTATTATCGAAAACGATATTATGTCTTTAGTTTAACTTGGATCGTAGTTTAAGTCTCAGAGGAATGCCACCTTTGACGCATTGTAGGACGTTCCTCCATGGGTCTATTGGTAATTTTACTGGCGTTTTCGGTGTCGGTTCGACTGTGAATTTCTGGAGAACAGCTGCTAAGCCCGCCAAAGATTGCATTTGACCCAGGCGACCTCCTGTAATAGTTAATGAATTGTAATTACATTGGGCAAGAGCTGCATCACACGCTCACAAAACATCGACGATGTACGACACGGTTAGAGCAATAGCACGAAACGTTGTGGATGCCCGTTCAAGTCCTGCCCGTGTCGTATAATTTTCAAGCAAAAATTCGATTTCATTTAATTGAAGTTGTTTGACTATAATTAATGAGAAATGAATATTAATAATTACAACATCTTAGTTTTGTCTGTAATGTGTGGGATTAAATACATTTCTAACGGTTTGTAACGCGGTACAATGTAGCGTATTAATTTTTAACGGGTCATAGTTTTACTATTAAAAATGTTTACTTTAATGATACAATTAACGATATGTTGTTTATACAACAGGTAGTGGCCGTAAACAATTTTAAATTTCTTACCTATACAAGCTCGTGGCCCAGCACCAAAGGGCATATAAGTGTAATTGTTAATCTTCTTCCCAGCGTCGTCTGAAAATCTTTGCGGCTTAAATTCCATAGGATTGTCAAAATATTTCTCATCTGTCTGTATTGCTTGTATTGGTATTACTGTTATAACACCAGGTTCTATAGTAACACCAAGTTTAGGTATGGTATAGCGCTTTGCGCATAATCTTTGCAGAAAACCAGATGATGGGAAGAGTCGCATAGCCTCCTTGAAAGCCATCTCGAGGTGTGACAGTTCAGAAATTGCGTCATAGCACAATTTGTTATCATATTTTGCTAGAACTTGATCGATCTCATTCTGAATTTCAGTTTGAATATCAGGATTGAATGCTAGTTGATGTAGAGTGAAGCTGGTTGCAGACGAAGAAGTTTCGAACCCAGCTACAAAAAATACAAATACTTGCGCTATAAGATCCATTGTTTTCAGTTCGAATTCAACACGTATTGGATTTCCTTCACTGTCACTGTTCTCAATAGATTCACTTTCCATTTTACCTTTCTGAGCTAACTCCAATAAGAAATCAACAAAGTCATTTCTACCACATGGTTTGTAATTTCTTTGTCTGAATATTGACTCAACAAGATCCGATACCGCTTTTTCCACCTCTGTACTAGAAACACGAATAGAATTTCTCACTTCTGGGAACAGTTCCCAAATACCCAGAAGGATAATATGACGAAGCGGAAAGGAAAGCGATTTTCTACCTAGTTCTCTAAACGCTGAGTGTTCGTCATTAATGCTGTTCATTTCGATACCGAATCCACAGGCGCCGATAAAATCTGTTGAGAATCTAGCCATGAAATCGCGACAGTCAAAATCTCCTCCTTTGCTAGTTATGTGCTCTCCGGCGACCTGAAGTTTTTCAGCGCATTTTATGATTAAGGGAAACATAGCCCTTAGTTTTGCCGTCGTAAAGACTGGCGTTAAGCGTTGTCGTAAGAACTTCCACTTGTCGCCGTCAATGTGAAACAAGTTGCTAAGAAGCGGTTCCTTTTCTGGATCCCTACCCATACCTCGTAGGTAGAAGTGGGAAAACTCCACATTCAGAATACTCCTGGCAATATCGAGGTCACGAACGAGTAGACCTGGCATCATACCCCGGTAGAAGCCCACCACTTTCTCGTCTGGATACTTGAAGTATAGTTCTGTGTAGGTCTCGGCGAGGCTCTCGAAACCGAAAAGGTTTCTATAATGATTACCAAATATTGGCACCGGGGGGTCATGTTTTACCTTTCTTTTACTCCAGTAACGAAAATTTCGCGTTGTATATAAATATATTAAAGTCAAACACACGAATAACGGTAATATTAAAACCATGGCGAAACGTCTGTTCAAGACGGACACAAGGTTAAATTGTGGGAGAATAATGAAATATCAAAGAGGGAAATTTGCAGATAACAGTAAAATATAATAGATAATTACATAAATTGAATTTAACAAATTGTGTAATGAATAGTGAAATTACGTCTAAACACAAATGAAATGTTATATCCACTTATTCTGTTAATATTAAATAGGATCAATATCATTAAATTAAAAATCTATTTAAATTGGAAAAATTTGACGACACGGGCAGGACTTGAACCGGCATATACAGCGTTTCGTGCTGCTGCTCTAACCAATTGAGCTACCGTGTTTTTAATTTATATAGTGCCACCATGTGTCATATGAAAAACATGAAGGTCTTAAACATTAATTTATTTATTATTGCTTTATTATAAAAAAAAAACACACATAGATAATACATATAATTAATAAAATAATTAAAATATAATACTTATTATTTTTTTATTATTAATTTTATTTTTATCAACTTTAGTACTATACGCAGTCAAATAAATATTTTTTAAGAAAACTGTAACTAAAACAAAGTAACCATTTATTGTCGGAAAATATTACCTATATTGTCCGTTGTTTACTTAACTTGTACATTTTAAACACGTTTAACGGTTTCAAATACGAACTATATTAGTAACGTATGTAAATTACGACGTTGCGGTTTATAGTAGACGAGGACAGAGACAATTTGAAAAAAAAATTAAAAACAGAATTATCGAACGTCTTTTGAACCGTTATAACTGTTTGTATTAAATATTTTGTCTTTGACGTTGAATTATTAATATCGCGTGACACTAACCACTATGCGTTCATTGATCATGAATTTAAATATAACCTATTTATTTTACAATTATTGGACGTTCTATGATAGAAAAGTTTTATTAAAATTAAAATTAAAATTTGGTAAAATATTTAGAAATAACTATACGTAGTAAGCCTTTGGTTACAGGTTCGAGGCCCTCACGTTTAATATTATTTTTTCAATCTAGAACTATACGTCACCGTATGCTTTAATATGTAAAAATAATAAAAGAAGTAATACATAGATAAAAAATAAATTTTGTGAAGCATAATAAAAAGATATTCTTATATTTAAAAGACATTATATATGTAGTTTACGCTAGTAGAAGACATAGAAGTAAAATATTTTTAACGGTTTGAAACGTGAAATGTTATTCATAAGTTAACGTATTTTAAATTTATTTTAATTGCGACCTGACGTTACGAATGCGATTTTTTAAAGTTTATTCTTATAGAGTTGTATTCTTATTTATCTCAATTAATATATAAAACTGAAGAGTTTGGTTATTGGAACGCGCTTTACTAAGGATCTACTGGTTCGAAATATAAATTATTTCGTCGTTCGTAGTGTTAGTTAGTGCATTTATTAAAGAAGGCTTTGACTTTTTTGCTTTATTACGGTTCAAGGTAACAAAAAAATGTGTACAGGAGAATTATTTAAATGTATATAAAGTACGCGGACGACGTCGTGGGTATCAGCTTTGATTTATAAAAATGGAGTGTACTTTTGCAAAAACAAATTTTTATCCCCAAAATAAATATTCTACGCGGACGAAGTCGCTGACACAGCTAGTTTGGTATATATGTAACTTTATACAAACATAATATACAACCTCCGCTTATTGTTACATATGTACTGCTTATCAACTATCGTAGCCTTAGTTTCAACGGAATGCCACCCTTGACACCTTGAATAGTATTACTCCAAGGGTTTATTGGTAGTTTAACAGGCGTCTGCGCTGATGGCTCGACGGTAAACTTCTGTAAAATAGCTGCCAACCCCGCTAATGACTGCATGTGACCCAGACGTGCTCCTGGAATGATAAATTAGTATTTATTATGATATATATCTATACTAACATATAAAGTTAACTCAAAGGAAAACCAGATTTTTTTTTTATAAGTATTGTGACATTAGTTAGGAAAACTATGGTGAAACAATCTATGCCTGCACGCATCTATGCGTATACAATAAAGAATATTCTCCATCTTAAAAAAAATAGGAAAGGCATAAATCTGCTATCGGAGCGATGAGTGTTTGGTTGCAATCCAGGGAAAATATAAAAAATAGTTTCGGCCGGTTAGGGTGAAAAACCAATCAACTACTTGCCTCTATATATATTCGACCGGTGAAGAAGACAAAGAAGCTAAGACACAGTAAGCTATACCAGAAATAGGCGACGCGTCTTGGTTAGAAGATTCAGTGATATATCACACGATTTAACTGGCTTAAATTGTACTTGTTACGTAGAGCACTTAAAAATAAACAAGATACGTTGTAAGCATTAGATAACATAGTAATTCTCGAGATATAGTAAGACTCACCTATACACGCTCTAGGTCCTTCTCCAAAAGGTAAGTAAGCATAATTATTAATTTGTTTTCCAGATTCTCCTCCGAATCGTTTCGGTCTAAACTCGTGAGGATTTTCGAAGTATTTCTCATCTGTCTGTATCGCTTGTATGGGAATTATTGTTGTTACACCGGGATCTATCGTTACTCCAAGTTCAGGTATGGTATATCGTTTTGCACATTGCCTTTGCAGGAATCCCAAAGACGGAAAGAGTCGCATAGCCTCTTTGAAAGCCATCTCGAGATGTGACAGTTCAGAAATTGCGTCATAGCACAACTTGTTATCGTATTTTGCCAGAACTTGATCGATCTCATTCTGAATTTCAGTTTGAATATCAGGATTGAATGCTAGTTGATGTAGAGTGAAGCTGGTAGCTGACGAAGAGGTTTCGAACCCAGCTATGAAAAACACAAAGACTTGCGCTATGAGGTGTATTGTTTCTAATTCAAATTCAACACGTATAGGAGTTCCTTCACCGTCACTTTTCTCAATAGATTCGCACGTTATTTTACCTTTCTGGGCCAACTCCAATAAGAGGTCTATAAAATCGTTCCGTCCACATGGTTTGTAGTTTCGTTGCCTGAAAATTGTCTCCACAAGATTTGTCACCACTTTCTCAACCTCTGTACTGGAAACGCGAATAGCTTTTCTCATTTCTGGGAACACCTCCCAAATTCCAAGCAGAAAAATATGTCGCAGAGAAAAATGTAGCGCTTTCTTCCCCAGCTCTCTGAATGCTGAGTTTTCATTGTTAATACTGTTCATTTCGATTCCGAAACCACAGGCACCGATGAAATCTGTAGTGAATCTTGCCATCATGTCGCGACAATCAAACTCTCCGCCTTTATCATTAATGTGTTTTCCAGCGATCTGTAGTCTTTCAGCGCACTTTATAATCAAAGGGAACATGGCTTTCAATTTGGCTGTCGTAAAGGCTGGAGTTAAGCGTTGTCGCAATGATTTCCACCTGTCTCCGTCAACGTGAAACAAATTTCCAAACAGTGGCTCTACATCTGGATCTCTGCCCATAGCTCTTGGGTAGAAGTGAGAAAACTCCACGTTCAAAACATTTCTTACGATATCCAGGTCACGAATTAGAAGCCCGGGCGCCATACCACGGTAGTAACCGACTACCTTCTCGTCTGGATACTTGAAGTATAATTCGGTATACACCTCTGTGAGGCTTTTGATGCCGAATAAGTTTCCAAGATGATTTCCGAAGAGAGGCACTGGTGGCTCATGTTTAACACTTCTTTTAGTCCAATAACTGTAAGTCCGGGTTGTATATAAATATATAAGGGTAAGGCACCCAAGTAACAGTAACATTAGGATCATTTTATGACTTGTAGGCGACACTGATGAAAGTGTAATGTCATTTATCGTGGTTTGTTAAAATCTATCTAGATTATCTAGTTTGCAAAATATAAATTATTTCAGCTTAGTAATCGCAATAATCGATTTGTATATCTTTAATACTAGTTTTGCGGTGTGCCTTTGTCTGCGTGGAAAAGTGACAATTGTCAGAATATTAATTTTGTAGGATAAAATAAGAGGATAACTTCAAAATAATCTTATACGCTAATAATATTATAGTAATATTATTATTATTTATTTTTATTGCATCTTAGGTACTTACTTATTAGTAATTATTATTCAAATAAGAGATTAGGCTTTCCCTGTATCGAAACGAATTCAAAAAGCCTTCGCTTTCGCTCGGCTAAGACGATTGGCGTTGCCATTGGCGACGCGATGAACGAAGCGACCGTTTGCGCGTTTGTAATTAATTGTTTGTAGGTAGGTATATTTTTTTTAGTAATTTCCTCGAGGTAAGCGTTTTTAAATTGATATATTATTTTTAGTCCAGAATATTTACTTTCGATAAAATACATTTCAAAGCTTTAATATTTCTCACATGTAATTTTAGTTTAATATATTGCACACGATGACATTATATAAATTACAATTCGATTTTAGATTGGCAAAAGCACAAAACGCGGTAGATGTCGGTTTAAATCTCGCCCGTATCGTATTTTTTTTTATTAAAAATTTAATATACTAAATACATGTCTTTTGTTTTCCTTTACAAATCAACATAAACAAGTAAATAAAAAATACAAAAATTTTCCTCTATATCTACGTATTTAAGCTGTTTGTGATAAAATTGTATTTAAATAAGGTGTTTATTAGCATTTCACGATAGCAATAATCTTATCCTATCATTAATTACAAATGTAACCTCTATTTGGGACTTTGGTCAGTTTGACATTGTCTTATTGTTTGTCATTGTGGAGTATAATTTAAATGTTTTATTATTTTATGATAGAGGAGGACTGACAAACTGGGCTTACTTTATGGTAGGTAAAATACTCTAGCCATATAACTTCTAAACTAGATCCACATATAAATTTACAAACTGAAACCGACACGCGATTAAACTTCACGGATTTACTGTAGACGGCAGTTCGTGACCAATTTAATATCCAGATTTCCAAACGAAGTCCAAAATGTTTCACAAAATTTATCCGGCCCGGTAGGGATCCGAAATCTTGGGCCAAACAATTTTCAAATATGTTTAACTAATAATATATATCACGTTTTAAACCGTTCAAGTTTATTATTTAAATCGTCCAGCTTGATTTATAAACTAGCAGTATTCGTATTAGGTCGCATACCTACACTAAAACATGACAGTTAATGTGAGTTTTAAATCCTATAAATAGTCCTAGTATCCAAATCCTAGTATGTAGGAACATACTAGATAATTTTTGTCTCTCATGACCGTGGCTGCAATAAATCATCAGTTCGTTTAAATTAATGTTAATTATTAAATGTGCACTCGCATTTTAAATAGACGCATTACTGTTGTGCGTCTTAAAGTTTGCTAATCATTTTATTTAGGCGTTATATTTTGTATCTTGCAATACTATTACTGTGTATTTATAAAAAAAAAAATCGTAGCGCAAAGACGGCGAGCGCTGGCGCTCTCTCCCCAACGCCCGGTTAGTAGGCCCCGTCAGGGCTCAATACGTAAGATCCAATAAAAAAAATATAGTTAATAATTCTATGGGATTTGTTGTTAAGAAAATATAAAAAAAAACAGTAGACTATACAGTAACTTTAATTTCTAATTGCAAAAATAATCGTAATTGTAACCAACACCTAAAAATACACTGTAATTATGTATTATTATTTTTTATGAAGTACACAAATCGATTGACGGTTTCGGATCGACTTCGGATACACATAATCAGCTGACAGTCATCCAAATCTGTAATGTATATAAATATTTGTCTGTAATTATAATCATTACTTAATAGATTATACAGTAAGAGTTTGCTGTGATCCATTTAATAATTTTAAGTAAAATAAGATATTTTATTTAAACATATTAATTGAAGTTAAAATATTTATTTTGTATATTTATTACAACTTTATTATTTATAAATCATACGACCGAACAATAAAATTTATTAAAGAAAAAATCTTATGTGACTTAACTGTAACTTATACATATATGTAGAGCGGCCTTGTGGCTAAGCAACGATCTCTTCCAGGCCACATGTATTTAGATTTTAAAAAAGTATTTATTAGAAGAGCAGTACTTTATTTATAAATAACAAAGAAATAATAATATAAAACACAGCTCGTCCAAAAGCAGTAAAGGGCGAATAGTAAACAAAAATAAAGAGTCACCGCGGTCCAAGAATAGACAACGGAATGCCGGATATTGCAGGCATCCGAGATTTACAGGTGTTGGTATTCATACTTCAGCTGTTACAACGAAACGTTTTAGTCCGCAATATACCACACGGCAGAACGCACGCATTTCCAATTAAAATAATCGATATAAAACACGATTCAGCAAGTGAAAATTTAAACTGTGATGAGTGAGTTTTAGAAGCTAAAATTCTAAATTTAAAATACAAAATGAAAGTTCTACCCGTTGAAGACAAGGCGAGGGTTGGCGACGAGCCGGTTGTAATCGATGTACCAAAATCGATAAGGGACGAACTAAACAGGTGAGCTATGAGGGTAGCAGTAAATAAAAATTAATTTGTTTGAGTTATATGATACTTATGAACTATAGTACTATTTAAAAATGATTTTTATTAACACATAAAATAATAAATTTAGGTAAAAATCAATAAACTACCAAATTAGTGTTCTATAAAGAACTCATTTACCCTTCAGTAGCCTATGTCGCCTTAATTAAATATAAATAAACATTTTAAGTTACCACTTCTGTAGCCAAATAGTTAAAAGTGTTTACTAGCACTGCGTTAACGGCGAGAGATTCTGGATTCGAATCCCGATAGCAATACTTGGTTTCGGTCAGGCAAGGCACAGAAGTCAGGTCAGCTACTTGCCTGTCAATATAACTTATCAGTGTAACAGGCTCACAAATGTGTTCGTCCCATGCCCCACGAGGGGAAATTGTAAGATATTTAATTTGGTTGGTCGATTCGAGTGTTATTAAAGCATGTGATGTTTAACAGCGGATAAAACTAAGATGAAAACCACAGATGTACTTGACTTGCACCATAATACATTTGCTCCTAAATGCGTAGGTTTTGTTAATCAAACTCAATTATGGATAATGAATACATATGGGTACGTCGGAATTTTTATTATACTTCGTCTAATGTAGGATGATATTCACGAAATATTGCTTTCTTTGGGTCTTGTATTTTTCACATAATATTATATTGTATTGTACTACCCAAATACAAGATCAATGGTAAATTATAAAACGTAGACAAAAAGGGCGTCGTTGTATATATAATTGAAAATACATAGGAAATATCGAATATATTTTTGGTTCATGTCTACTTACTAACGGTTACGTGTGTTTGCCTTTTATAAGTTCTACAATTAGGATTGGGGCTCTATAAGTCTTAATCTACCATTTTGGCCAAATTCGATTAAAACAAAAACGGTTCTTGTGAGTTAACCTTAAAAGATAAAACGTCAAGAGCATTTTTTAGATCTTTTTAAAGAAGAATAATTCTATTGTACATAATTTTTTGGGTATCTGAACTATTTACGGAAACGCTAAATGTTTATTAATTTTCCCCGTTTATTCACATTTCTTTCTGCCTCTTCACTTCTATTGGTTGCAGCTCAATATTTAATAAACTAAAGCCCTCGTCGATATAGTACTCGAATCGACACAAACACAAATTTTCAATTCGAACCAGCACTTCCGGAGATTAGCGTGTTCAAACAAACAAACTGTTCAACTTTTTAATATTAGTTTAAATAAATGCCTGAAAAGTCATAACCAAATCTGAAGAGTTCTTGTCTATATGGTTTGTAGCGCCAAGTTCGGCGGGTTAGGCGTCGTTGGCTAGTTTCCAAAATGACACAACCGTATGGTATGCGGCCTGTTTACTCATTGTTGATGTTTTCATAAGAGGCAGAGATACTATTTAATTTGTAGTTAGACCTTGAGCTGTTCTCTTGGCTGTAAGACCAGTTTTAAGGCAAAGTAACTGTGTTACAGTGAACATAGATTTTTTTTACTCCCACTATTGTTGAACTCGTGGAGTTTGCGTATATTGAGATTTCTTTTGACCGTCTTGTTGAAAAGCATCTGTTTTAGCCCAAAAGCGGACATAGATCTTAAATTTAGCAAAAAAAAATATAGTCAACTGGGGTGTTTTTTTTATCGTTGTGCAAATTGATAATGTAGTAGAGAGTTCATGTTTTGAGAACAATTTTTATGTGCTAAAAGCAGTGTCTATTTTAGTATACGAGCGGACACAAGTACTCAGTTAAAAAAAAGTCAAGACTTTTTTGAAAAAAAAAATTACTTATGTCCTACCTTTTATATAGCAACCCATTTAGTTAATAATAAAAATATTGTCAGCAAAATCAATTTCATATATAAAAATAATTTCATTTCCGAGCTAAGAGTAGAAAGGAGAACGTTATATGTTAAAAAATATATTATACGCTAGGAAGTATTTCTATGGTTTATAAAATTGCAAATAAGTTCGTTACGATATCGTTACAACCAATTGTAACACTGCTTCTTCTCGTTCGTCTCGTCTATCACCGATAATGACATTCCAAAGTCCACCGACCCGCACTGGAGCTGCGTGGTGGGTCTAAGAGGTCCTTAAATATATTTATTAGAGAGGAGATCCGTACCCAGTCATGGGACATTAATAGGTTGAAACAGAAACAGCTGTTTATCGACGTTCGTTTGTTTATCAACAATTCGTAGCGAGTTCTAATTTCTGCATTGAAATGACACATAATTCTATTTAAAGACTAATTGAATGTATGATAATATATAACGCTGAAGAGCTTGTTTGTTTGTATGATTGAACGCGTTATACTCAGGAACTGCTGGTTCGAATTGATACTGTCTATAGTTTACGCAAGTAGTACACATTTAAATAAAACACTTTAACGGTTTAAAACGCGATATAGTAGTTATATTACGCGACCTGAACACTAAATGTCTATGAGTAACAGCTTAAATACGTGATGATAAGGAGGAGGTTTGGAAAAACAAATTTTGATGTCCAAAATAAGTATTCTACGCGGACGAAATCGGTGACACAGCTAGTTATTTACATGAAAAGTATATTGCTGGAACCATTGTATTGTAAGATGTTGTTTTGTGTGTACGTTTTAAACCGTTAAAAAACCACTCGCGTTAATTTCAACTTTATTGTACGTCTGTCGATATTTCATGTAAATTTCGACTTTTATCTTTCTCTATTGCGTAAATATCTTTTAAACATTTATTAATAATAAGTAGGAAAACTCAAAGTAACTTACTCTTAACTTACTCAATAGATATTGAAATAAAAGCATGAGGTGCTCGTTGGTGTAATGGTAGTAGTGTTCGGCTAATAAATGGGCCATTGGTTCGACCCCAACCGGGTGCAACGACCAAAGGTGTTTCTAATAAATTTAAAATTTTCCTAAAACACGTTGCACTTCGTCTGGAAATCTGGATATTAAATGAGTGGTAGGAATATCGAGATTCCATCTGGGTTACGAACCACCGTCTACACATGAAAAAGCCGTGAGTACTAGGACATCTAGTTCAGATGGCTGAGGTATTTCTCCTTCCTTCAATTGAACCACATGCTGACCGGTAGTTTACAAGATAAACACATTCAATAAAACAAAAGTCAAAAACCCATTTATTCACGTAGGTAGGTAGGTACAATTACGAACGTCACACGAGTTAAAAATTAAAAACTCTAAATTCACATTTACTACTAGTTCTTAAAAAGGCTTTCGTTTTGTTTCAGAGGCTGTCCCCTTGGTGTTTCGCGAGTGATTGATCTAGTTTATATATGTGGCGCCCACGCATTACCAGGAGCCGTCAAGACGTTGCGGCCGAATCTGGTAGTCAATGCTGCTCCAGAACTACCGCCCCCACCAGAAGATTACGTACCGAGGCATTATGTACCACTGCTGGATACACCCAATTCAGACATGCATCCGTATATGGAGAGCGTTGCTGACTTAATTAATGAAGTAAGTCATTGGTGTCCGCTTTATTTATAAACAATTTTCTCCAAACACTTCAAGCTGCTTGTGTGTCAAACATCCTTGCAAACACATCTTAGAATGATTCGAATCGCTCATACCAATTTTACTGTTGCAAATTTATTAATCAAAATCTGTCTCTCTTTTGCTTTAGGTAGTATCAAGCAACGGGGCGGTGCTAGTTCACTGTGTTGCCGGCGTATCAAGATCTGTCACATTATGTCTAGCTTACCTCGTCAAGTGGAATAAAATGACGTTAAGAGATGCTTATCATCACATGAAACAAAGAAGGTAAGTTATGCAACACTATTTTGGCAAGTCAACTAGGTTTTAGAAGTGTTCGACCGTTGTAATTAAGAAATAGTTATTGACGTTTTTAGGTTTTATTCTGGCATTATAATTTACGGCTTTAAAGAAACAAAAAATAATATACTTTATAAGCAAGCAAAACCTTGTTTAAAAATTACCTTGTTTAAATATACTAAACTAAGCTTAATTTGATTAATTAAAAAATAACTCATTAGCATTGTGCATACAAGAGAATCGACTTCAGTCATATACTTTACATTAGCCGACTCACCGCATAATGGCGACTGATAGACAGTGCGTCTCTATTTGGTTATTTTGTAAAGCTTCGTACATATTCGGTAATGTTCGGTAAGCAGTGGTGTGTCTCGTTCACTTCTTGCCATTTATTTTGTTATCTCTGAGCGCAGTCCGTTAAAAAAGTTGATGACATTGTTTCAGGCCTCAAATCAGACCGAACACTGGTTTCTTCAAGCAGCTCATTAAATTCGAAGAGAGATTATATGGTGAAGCCTCCGTCAAAATGGTGTACTGCGAAGCGATTGATAAGGAAATTCCTGACGTCTACGAACCTGATTACAGGGGCATGACCTGGTTCAGACAACGGTATGGACCGATTGAAAACAGCTAAAATTTAAACAATAGATAAGTCCGGTACTCACTAGCAAAGTGTAACTGTAATCATTGGTATCGTCAAAAAATGCCAACTATATAAGTTATACTTGAACTACAAAAGTACTTAGTAAAAGTACTATTGAAATACGTTTTATTTTGTTGTTTTCAAGAAAAATTATTTGTACAACAAAAAACCAAAAATTCGACCAAAGCAAGAAACTCCTTTAATTTTAAAAGATTTTTTTAGATCATTTAAAGATGAATCATTCTTTCATATATATTTTTGATTTCTTAAACAGTTTTCGCAACACACGCAATGGAAGCCCTCAAAAATAATTTACACCATTTTTGCTATATTTTCAACTGTTTCTCCACTCATATTATGTTGCAGTGTGATCCTATGTTTTCTATTCGACCCAGCAGTTCCTGAAATTGGCGCGTTTAAACAAACAAATAAACAAACTCTTTACCTTTTGAAAAATTAATATAGATAAACGCGTTCTGTCTTCACGGTTTCTCACATTTTCTTTGTCATTTGATAAACTTATAACATTAGCGTAAAAACAATAACTTAATTATTGTATCATATAATTTACAGTTACAACTCGTCAGTGTGTACTGGGCTTAAGCCATTTCTGATTGCAGAAAGATTTGTTATAAGACTGAAGGAATAGAGAATGTTACCTTGATGCTTAAATAGAAAAACAATGAGAGAATGAATGCTTACGAGTTACGGTATAAGTAACAATAAAAAATATATATATTTAGTTCAATATTTGTTGCAATTGTGATAATTACTTGTATTGTTATTATATTTTAGATAAGGGACCAAATAAACTGATTTTTTATTATTATTATGTGTTTTATTTATATATCTATTAGTCGTTTTAAACTCATTCCATTATCCGCTCTAAGCTTTATTGAAGGTTTGTGGGCTTATAAAGTAAAGTCCAGTAAAATTAGTCCGTAAAACATAGGTAAAGTTTCGTTATTTCTAATTTGACTGGACTATCAAAGGACGACGTCATCACTGATTTAAAACCCGTAAATCAGTAATGATGTACTGGACCGAAAGCTCTCCAAAACAGATTTTTTGTAAGTCTTTTTTTATTAGTAAAGTGACATGAGCTATATAGAAAAAAATAAAAGTTTTATATGAAAATCTTCAAATAATGTATTTCTTTAAGATTGAGAGGAATTTATAATTGTCTAATAAAAATAGATTTTTTACTTATAACAACCGTAATTAATTGTTGCATAAAAGATGCACAGAAAGAAAATGAAATCTCATTAAATAATTCAAAACGTCTTCATCGCTGGTCATCATAATTTAAAAGCTTTTTAATAAAGATACACACTACGAAACAAGAAAATCATAAGAATGTTAATGCAATTGGCAAAGATCAGATGTATCTTATAAAACAAACACAGAAGCTGAGTCTGTATTCTCCGTCCAAAAAGCCTTGGTCTGAAAAAGTCCAGAATACCCAATATCCAATAATGAAGGAGTAATGAGTAAATATGACTAATTCCATTGAAGCAATGTTGTTGGCCTCTTGGCATTGAGAATGCGTACAAAAATATACGTGGCGCCGAATTGTAGGACTCAGTCTGATATAAGTCTAAATGGAAGCGAGAGTGAAAATATATTTAATATATTATCACAATGCTTAACCAATTTTAGAACTTAACGAAAATGTTGAAAAGACAGCTGAGAACATCTGAACAACGTTGTCGACCTATTTGGCTTTAAATATTTATAAATCCACAGACTGAAACTAAAACATCAAGGCTTTTTCAATGTCGAAATGTCGAAATTCCTACCACTTATTTAATATCTAAAATTTTCAAACGAAGTTCAACATATTTCAGAATAGTCATAAATACATTAGAAATATGTTTGGGCCCTGTGAGGATCGAATCCACGACTCTTTGATTGTTAGCCGAACTTTGCTACCGTTAAATCGATAGCCCGACTTGCCATACTTTACATTATTTTTTAAATTTAAGTACGCTACGGGTTCAGCGTAAAGCGATGCCTGATGAATTGGGCAAAAGTACGTACCGTCAATCGCAAGGATTTTGAAAGTAAAACTTATTGAGCTATGTGTACCTTGTTTTTTAATTTTATACTAAAGTAACTTCAAGATTTTTTGTTTGATTAAATAACTAAAAGCGTGGCCTTATTCGCAGTAAGCGTCGCATATACCCATTCGCTATGTTGTAGCTATCTATGAGACAAGGTCCTAAGAATAGTATTGCAGTAACGACTGACAATGCGAATACTTCCTGATTGTGATGTAATCTAGATTGAAATAGATCGGTTTAATCTTCGCTAACCGAATTGAGATAACGTTGTCTTTACGTCGTTCGTTACTTTTGACTAGTTGCAAATTACGTTAATTTTGTCTTAAATACTGGTGTTTATGTGGGCGAAAATTTGTTTTTAAACATTTACTTTTGAAGGCTTAGTCTCATGTAGGAGGGGCCGGACTTTTGTGGTTTTACATTTCAGGCGAGAATTTCTATTCTCTGCCCGCCCCAAACAATGTTTACCCCGATATCAAACGTAATACTTATAGCAATTAATTGAGTAAGCAAACTTAGTGAAACTTTAACCATTAAGCCACCGTGGTGAATTGTGTGATAGTTATGAAATCATATTTAAGAATTACGTATAAAGAATATAATGTTCAAATGCCCGGCGCAGGCTTAGCACTCTCGATGAAGTTACAGCTTTTAAAAATTTTAATTTTACAGCGGTTAAATTCGAACAATTCACGAAATTTAGAAGGCTACCAATGCATTAGTTTTTTTTTGTAATAAGTGGGAATCGAATCTTAGAATTAAATTGTTGGATAATCTAGCCATCATGTATGTACCGAATAAGTTACATCGTTTAAAACACAACAATTTGGCAGCACTGATGAAGTTCAATATTTTTGTTAATTACCGACGACGCCCGTCCGTAATTAGAAATTGGCAAAGATTTTTATTTATTTATTTATTTAATTCTTCTTACAAAAAATTACTGATTCTTAAAAATATTCTTAAAATACAATTTTTAAGATACATTATTCAACGACAGTTATATGTGCATGGGGGGGGGGCCTTTTTCCAAAAAGGGGTCCCCTTCCGGGAAACCCTTTTTTAAGGGTTTTACACCCACAGTGACTTTTAAAGAACGGCTAAATTATTCTCCACATACAAAGGATTGCTTTTTGAGGAATAACCATTTTTGTTCTATCTTGTAATGTAGAAAAAAACATACAGTTAGTTTAACATATAGTTGTCATACTTTTTCAGCGCAAGAATAATATTGTTAGGTATGCACTGATACTAAGATCACATTATAACGGCGGGCTGATAAACTAGCCTTTTCTTAAATACTGTCTATAGTTTACGCGAGTAGTACACATTTAAATAAAACACTTTAACGGTTTAAAACGCGATATATTAGTTAAACTTATTTGAAAATGATTTTTAACTTCGGCCCGACGTTTCGGATGCTTTGCAGCAGCCGTGGTCACGGGGCCTTGTAAATACCCTTTTCTTGTAACGCTTCTAATATTAATGTCAATATCGCAATTAATAGGTATCTATTTAACTTTTTTATCATTAAATTATGTATATACCTTTTTATAGTTTATTTTTAGTAACTATTTTGTAATTTTAACATTTGAACTATTGTTGTTTTATCAAGTTAGTAAAAATATGTTAAAAAATCGGCGAAATGTTCAAGTTACGTGACGTCACACTATTGGACCACGGGGACAAAAGAGTATGTACAATTCATTATAGGTAATTTATGTTTTTTTTTTCAATTTATGTTATATATCAATGTACGTTATCTGTTGTCAGTAAGATAACCTTGGGACCTTGAAGGGAAACGATTTCCTTACTCATTTGTTTTGGCAGACGTCTATCTGCTATCACCTTCAAGAAGGTATGCAATAAAGCGACTTTTGGATCTGTCCCAAAGATTATAATATAGGGACATGATAGGTACCTTCAAGGTAAGACAGAAAAACCCGATATACAAGACAATGATATAAATGAAAAACGTTTCTATATATTCTCTATGGCGCAACTATGTAATGCGTTGCTTAGCATTGTGCTTGACGTGAGAGGTCCTGAGTTCGAATCCCGGGACAAATATTATATTCTTAGCCATATCGTAAATAAAAATGTAATGTGTTCGCCCCATGCTTCAAAGAGAGAAAAGTATCTTTACATATTGCCTTAAGAGAAAATACCAATATTTTAATTTAAAAAAAGTGTTTTAACGGTTTGAAACGCGAAAAATATAACTAATTTTTTACTTATTTTAACTACGACCTGACGTTTCGCATGCTTTACAGCAGATGAAACTGAAAGACTACTTATTAAAAAAATTTTTTTTTCACTTTTTCTTACTGACTTTCATTAATCTCTTTCTATCTCTTAGAATTACACAACAACCTATCAACTGAATGACAAATACATATTATAATTGTATAACAGCAAAATAAGAATCAGTTACTCACACGGAGCTCGAACCCAGGCTTATTTGCGAAATATTATTTCCCAGGATGTTTTTTTATCAACCAAAATAACCCGTTTTTCTGGAATTCGAACCCAATGCCTTGATCTTATTGCAATAACATTTTCGGGTTTTGTACTATAGTAACAACGTTAAGAATGAAAGTAAACGAAACATGAAAACCTTGAACAAATTAACAGTTTTATTGATACGAGTTCGTACATTCGGACGGACAGATCGCCGTGACCTCCTTATATCAAAATATTTGCGAATTCCTTATGCTATTTCGAATACTCGTGACCTTCTTTGAGAAGTATAAATGTCTCTTAAATTACAGCCATTTATATTTCTATCAAAAAGAATTTATAACATTCGTCTTTTATGACAGTAAGTTTATTCTTTATGTACACAATGAAATTTAACAACATTAGTGTGCAAACCCGAGGAGATACAAAGAAGTTAAACTAGACAATCTCTAAACTTACTAACTACTTAAAAAACTATACAAAATAAACTTAATAATAATAACCCATCAAATAATGATAAGAAAAAAGAAAATTCAATTTAGGAAGAATGACATGATAAGGATGGAGAATACTTATGTAAGAAGCTTTTGGAGGAAGTTAAGGAAGGGGCTAGACGTATTGAATCACGTCATCAGTGGGTAAGTTTATGGAAGGTAGACACGTTCGCCTGATGAAAGGCAAAAAACTACAGCCCTATAAATTCTTTCGACAAATAGACGACTATAATTTTTTATCAGACGACATTGCGACATGCGATCGGCATGTCAATAGTTTACTACTTATTTAATCTATATAAAGCCTAATAATAAAAAAATATAAATTCATCAATGTTGCATCTTGTCCGAAGTCACGGCTAAGAGTTAGGCCAACGAATCCGTAAGTTTAGTTGTAATACTGTATGTAAGTGTGTAAGTTCCGTACTTAATTCTGCAAATAAGAAAGTACCACATATAGTATATCATTTTCAGACAAGGAAAACATTCAAATGTGGTCTACAGAACAACTCTAATATAATTAACATACACTTACATAGAGCTAGTTAATTGTTTGCTTATGGCACAACACTGTTTGTGTAAAAGTGAGTAACACAATAAAAGTAGGGCGAGCAAAGATTTTGTTGATTTCT